ATGACAAAGATTTGTCCTGACTGTGGGCCAGGCAGGAAAACTCTAGCTACAGAGCTTGATCTGTGTAATCCTGCTGTGGTACTGTTTGCTCTGAGGTCATTGTTCCTCATGTTGGGATCGGCTAGGGTTTGACCTTTGACCTCTCCACGGCCAACCCGTACCTTTGTCACCCCAACACCTCCCTCACATACACACTTTCCCCCAGATACCTGGCATGTGCACACGTATGCATACCTTCCCATGGGTACAACAGCGCAAACGTATGCTGTGAATGCACGCACACACACACACCTTCCAGCCCTGCCTGGCCAGGCACTGTCCCGAGCAGTAGGCCTTGAGGCCCCTCCCACACGGGTGGCTCAAATCTGAGGCATGCTGGTCCTCCGTCTCTACATGAGTGTCACCAGCACCTTCTGCAAGGGCAGGTGCTGCATAGCGTGGATGCTACCTAGCAAATCTGCTGTGCAGTGGGACCCATCCAGGTCACACCCTTTGGTCACGTTCTCAACCAGGGCCTGCCTGCCTAGCCCACCGCCTCAGGAGGCCCACACTCCCCCACAGCTGGGCTGCTCTTCCTCGATCTCCTCAACCAGCCGCAGTCCCCAGCTCCTCCCTGAGCATGCTGTCCTCTGTCCTCCACCCTCCTCCTCACCAGCCTTTGGCTTGCAGTCATGCTCATGAGGCTGCGGGGAAAGGTCGTGGGGGAAGGCTTACTGTGGCGGATGGCCATTCACAGGATTGCTGGGCCACAGGGCAGGTTGATGACGAGTGACAGGACCACCTCCCACAGGAACCATATCAGAGCCTTTGGTTCCCGCAGCCCTAGATCTCACCGACGGGTGCCTGGTGCCACCTAACACGGCAGTGTGGAGATCACAGAAGCCACGGAGAGAGGGGCAGATCACGGAAGGAGAATGGCAAGACTTGTGGAAGGCCTGCGTGTTCGGTGGGAGGGCACGAGAGGGTGAGCCAAAGCTGCAGCAGCGTGGATCTGCTCGGATGAGAACGGCTAGGGAGAGCTGAGCTGGTTCCTCCTGCCTCGTGTCCAAGAAGGGCAGACAGTGAGCTGGTAAAGGGCAACATGTCGTGTCTGCAACACCACAGGGGAGTGGCAGGGATTATAGAGAGAAGAACTCTGTTGTCACAAAGCCAGTGCCCAAAACCAGCAAAGCTTCCTCAACCCAGTGTCCCGAAGGGCAGAAGGCTCACACAGGCTCCTGGCTGAAGCCGTGACAAAGCTGGCTACTTCCTGAAGGAACCTGTGTCCACATCCTTCCGGCTCCTGGAGCCATGGGCAGCCCTTGGCTCATGGCCTCCCTCCCCATTCCCAGCCCAGCTGCTGTGACTGTATCTTTTTTCCTCCGCTGAGCCCCTCTTCCCAGCGGGGCAACGGTCAGCAACGGCAACCTCGAGTCCTTTTCTGCCGCGTAAGGAAGCAAGCATGGGTTCTGGGATTGGAGTGGGATGCCTGCAAGAGCCCGTCCTGTTGACTGCTCCCTGGCTTCTTCTCCCTCTTCTCTTTCCTTCTCACTCACTCCTCTCTTCTCTCTTTTCTCATTTTGTCTCTTCTCCTTTCCTCTCCTTCCTCTTGTTTCTCATCTTTCCTTCCCCTCTTTCCTCTCTCTCTCTCCTTTCTTCCTCCCTTCCCTCTCCTCTCCTCCTCCCCATCCCTTCTTCCCCGCAACCCCCGAGGGGCCAACATTGAGACACAGTGAGAAGATGGCCATGGAGAGAAGTCCAAGAAAGCTCTACCCCACCACCTGGCACCTGGCCTTAGACTTGCCACCTCCAGGAGCCTAACAGAGGACAAGACAGGGTGGTCTGTGTCTTTATCGTTCCGCTATCCTCCTGCTAGATGGGACTGTGTACAAAGCTCACCTGTCCCCCAGGACCTGGAATTGCCTAGTTAAAGCTGCCCACATTCCCCAGATGTAAACTAAGGAAGCCACAAAATCAGACTACAGGATACAAAACACACACATTCCCATCCCAGACCTAACCCGGCCAGGGTGGCCCAAGATGTATGTCATTATTAGGCAGCTCTAATCCAAACCACAAAGCCACCTTTCCGAAGAGGGCACAAGAGCATCTCAAAAAGTGACAGAGCAAAAGGCTTGGGACAGGAGGGGGTCCCCTTGCTTCAGTCTGCACAGAATGAGGGAAGAGGCAAAATGGTTGGCCTCCAATGGTCCCGACAGCAGCACATGGCCACTTCTGGTGGCTAATGTCACCCAGTGACGCCTGGGTGTCCACTCCCTTTCTGGGCAGTGTTGTTGCCATGGTTACAAGTGAAGAGCCAGTTCTCAGCTCCAAGCTTGATGTGTCCTGCCTCTGGCTATGGTGGCCATGCAGACAGGCTGGGTGAACAGGTCTGCTTTGCCTCACACACTGGCCGCTAGCCTTTCTTCCATCTGTAGTCAACCAAGCTCTGGCCTTTTGTTTTGACAACACCCCAAAGCCCAGTTCCCAAGTGACAGTGTCCAGGCCAGCCATCCGAGATTCAGATTCCAGCCCAGGCTGCCAGGAGCCAACCACCACTAAGCGAGCACGCCACTCCTCCTGGACCTCAGCTCTTCTCTGAAGCACAGCAGGACCCACCATGCCAACCACTGTGAGAAACCACCCAAACACCTTTGAAAGCAAGCTGGCCCTGTGATGTAGAGGCTGTGGTCCCCTCCCAGTGGCCCGTGTCCTGAGTAAAGAGGGTGGCCGAGAGCTGCTGTTATCCCAATGCCAGATTCACACAGAGTCATGGGATTTTGCCTTGGCAGGGCCTGGACACTGACCCTGCCAGAGCTGTCTGTCCTACCCACGTTCATGGCTTTGTCCTTGGCACCACCCAGAGGCCCTTTCCAAAGCAGGGGCTTTCCCCCTGAGCCCAGCACTCAGGGACTCAGGTCAGGGTCTCCTCAGCCTGTGGGATACAAGGCAGAGGTGTCCACTGCGGGTTCAGAAAGCTGCACAAAAGCTGTCCTCAGAATCCCAGGAAAGCAGCTGCCTGTGGATGCTGGAAAAGTCAGGAAACAGATGCTAACACAGAGACCCCTGATCAGGCAACAGTCTCTAGAGGCCTGAGGGCATGGGGCAACACTTCCTCCAAGGACCACAGACACACTGTGCCAGGAATGAGGGAGGGATAGCAAGTGTAGATGCATGTGCCCAGAAAGGAGGTGGCACCAGTGAACAGTGCATCCCTAAGAGTGTGCATGTGAGTGTGTGCACATGAGCATGAATGTGACATCATGCCAGTGTTTGGCTGGCTTGTATGTAGTAAAAATGTGTGCATGCATGTGTGTACGTGTGTGTGTGTGTGTGTGTGTGTGTGTGTGTGTGTGTGTGTGTGTGTGTGCAGATTTCGGAAGCTGGTGGGCCCTGTTCTGCCTACACTGAGGGTTCCCTAGGAGGGACAAGCCAGTCTTCAGGGAAGAGAGACAGGCTGACAGGTGACGTGAACACCCTCGGGTCTTTCAGGCACATTAACTGAGAACTGATTTGGAGAGCAGAGACTTGGTGTGGGAAGGCTCCATGGCAGGAGAGCACCCTGAGAGGTGGAAGGTTTCATCCATTGTCGAATGAGCCTAAGGAGCAAGGCAGGTTAAGAAGCAGGCAGGGGTAACCCAGGCTGGCAGAGAGGTACCAGGCCATCCCCAGGGACATGAGTCTCCAGGTAGGGCACCTGGAAACAGCAGTGTGAAGAAGGTTGGTGGGGTTGGCAGGCACCTGTGACCCCAGAGCAGGGGTAGGAAGCTGTCAGGAGGCAACAAGCATCAGTAGAAGGTGAAGCCCATGAGTCATCAAGTCCTGAACCTGGGAATCCCCAGATTCAGGAGACTTTGTCTCTGGCATGGCCCTAGTGTGGCCTGTAAGCCTGTGGAGCATCATTGCGTGGAAACACCTGCACGATCCAGGTGCTGCTGGCCCAGCCTGGAGGTCACACTGAACGCTTCTCTGGAAGTATGCTGCCAAATGACGACCCTTTCCTAGGATATGAGAGTGGAATTCTGACATGTAGTGTTTACCAATTTCCTTGGTGTAGTGTAGCACCTCAACATGGTCAGATTGAAAGTGGTATGGCGCAAGCTGGCTCCCAACATTCCTGATACCTCATGATCAGCAGGATGCGGCTCTAACCATCAGTTGGAGATGCCCTCCCAGCTGTGAGGACCTGCAGACACTGACAGGGATGCAAGGGACAGGTGTCAGCTGCAGTTGATGACACAATCCCCATCACCAGCTTTTGGCACAAAGAGCTTTATTGGGGGTTCACAGAAAGGCTGAGGAGGGAACAGATCCGGTTCAGGACTGGGCTTCCAGGAAAGGCAACTCAGAAGCCATCCTAGGTTGCTGCATGGCTGAGAGCTGCCACGGGTCCAGAACACTCCATCTCAGTCTACGACTTACCATCCACCATCTCTGACCCCACCCAAGGAACTCAGTTTAGAACCATGTCTTAGGAAACCACATGTGACTAGTGAGAGGGGAAGCGTCCAGAGGGACCAGTGACTAGGACCTGGGACGGTGACTTTATACTGACTGAGGTGGGAGTGGGGTGAACAACACTGAGACAAGTGGCACAAACCGCCCACTGTGCCTGAAGGACATTTGGGCACCTCTGTTTGTGTGGCAAGGTCCCACCTGCCTTCCAGAGTCTGGGGCGGGTAGAGAAGAGGAGCAGACCTCTTCTGACCCCCCAGAGTCTCTAGGATCTAGAGGGTCTGTGCAGGGTTGGAGAGGAAGAGCATCTCATTCAAGGGTGGAAGGATGCGGAAGCTGGTGGAAGCAGATGGGATCCAGGGAGAAAGAGCATCTCAGTGCACTGCTCCCCTCCCCCCCACCCGCTGCAGCGAGTCTCCATCAGCGAGTCCAGCCTCATACACTTCTCCTGTGAGCTGGTCATGGAAGGGAAGATAGAGGACAGGGAATGGCATGGCAGGGAGATGGGACTCCAAAGAAGCAGGGTTGGGAGCCTGGATGAGGAGGAGAGTACTGGGGTCTCTGGGGTTCTAACAGGAGGAGGCGCAGCTTTCTCCAGGCTCCATCCACATAGACTGTCCCTGCCTTCTCTTTCCAGCAGGGGCTGGGCAGGAGCCCTGTTGATGCACAACCAGGTAGGGCCAAGCCCTAGGCTAAGGGTAGCAAGCCTGGCAGCGAGTTGAGCAGCCTGGGAAGGAGTCCTACCCCTGTGTATCTAAAGGGCCCACCCACTGGGTGATTCTGGGACAAGAGCAAGAGAAGAGCTCTGGGGTGCTGACCTCACCACCCAGCCTCCATCCATTCTCTTTCCTGACCTGGCCATGGCCACGGGACAGACCTGCTGGACAGTGGCAGGTTCCTGAGACAGAGAGGGCCTCCCTCCTAAAGTAGGGTAGTGGAAGGGCTGCAGGGGCCCACTACCACCTGCATTGTGGCACCAGCCAGGAAGCAGCTCCATGCATCACACCACACAATAAGAGGACCACAAGCCATATCCTCTGCATCAGCACCTCTGGAGTAGGTGCCAGGCTGGGGGTGTCCCTGTTCATGGGGCAGACACAGTCACTCTCCGAACTGCCACAGCAGCAGGATAGCACCCAGTCTTAATCCAAGCCCTCAGCTCGGGCTTCTAGCCTCTTCTCCTTGCGACAGAACCCTCCAGGTCCAGACCACTCTGCCCTCAGCACCTGCCTCCCCTGAACACTTAACCGGACACCATGGGTTGGCTATGTCTGTGCCATGCGGTCCAGGCAGCAGTCACACCAGTGTCTGGTGTCCCTAAGGAGGCTGCTCACGGTTCCGATTCTCACTGGAATGGGAACGGTGCTACTAACCCCTGCCAGGGCCTGATTCCTACAGCCCTGCAGATAGTGTAGCTTGGCCCAGTGCCGTGGGAGAATGGCGGGCAGGGTCTGAGCTCATCTAAGGCTTCAGATTAGTACTCCTCTCATATGGCACACACTGGGGATGGTGGCCCCAGGGCCACCATGTAGGTGTGAGCACTCAGCAGTGGGAGGAAGTCTGGAATTCATGAGTGTTTCTTTCTCATGTACTTCTGTGGCTGACAGTCATGTAACCTCAGGTGCCATGTCTCTTGGTGACAGAACTGTGGGCCACAGTGATGCTAAAACCAAGCCAGGCCGGGCCCCAGACACAGTCTCACCTTGTCCCTGCAGATCACAAGAGAATTTCCAAAAGAAGCAGAAGCCACAGTCCATTTCCACTGAAAGAGACATCTAGACCTGACACCCGACATCCACACAATCTATGCTCATTTGCTTCTTCCCCGAGTACTCAACATAGCTTAAGATAAAAACACTTATACAAAAAGACAGTAAATAATAAAACTGGAAGTTAATCAAGTAGGCGGCTGTAACATCTACCCCTGAACATGAAGTAAGATGGGTAAGAAAATTGACCAAAAAAGTAACGCTGGGATTTCAGCGAGGTGAAAAGAGAAAGTTCTTGTTGCTAGAGAAAAGCAGCATCCTGTGAATTGGCATGGAAACCTCAGACACCAGTCCCTCTTCCTTTGAAAAGCTGCTTTTGATATCGGCAGTAGAAAAGCAAGGCACAGGAGCCACTGTGATTGACAGGCTTCCACTGGCCAGGCACAGATGGGAGTGGCGGAAGCAGGGGAGGGCCGTAAGATGTCTGGCAGCGGGCACTGCCATGGTGAGCCCATGCTGGACCTTTCTCGTGTTTCCCCATTTCCTCCCTGTCAATGGACCAAAATTTTGGCACAAGGGCAACCCAAGCACTCCCAGAACAAAGGTCAGTGCGGGCCGGTACAGGCTGTCCTTTGCACTGACCTCTCCAGAAAGGTCTAGATCGCCAGTGCTTTGCTCTGGGAAAGGGCAACATCTTTGTTCAGATGTCCTGGGAGAGCAACGGTAAACAGAGTGAGCCATTCCCCAGCGGCAAAGCTGCTGATGCCTCTGATTGACAATGCTACAGCCATCCTCCCCACCAGGGCCCCATCTTCGTGTGCACGAATATCCACTTCCCACAGCACCGGGTAGAAAACGATGGCAGATCAGAGGGGTCGCAGACCTACACCACAAGCAGCCTGGGTTTGAGTGCCAGCTGAATCCAGCCCTGGCAAGGTCTTCCATTTCTCTAAACCTCAGTTTACCTACCCATTAAGATGGGCAAATCCCCTACTGTGCAGGCAGTGGCTGCTGAGACGAAATGCCAATGAAAGTGCTTTTGGAGCTGTGCAGAAGCAGTTGCAATGCACCTCCCCAGAACACAAGAGCACCATCACCTCCCCTGGTGCAGAAACCAGGACAGCCAGGCTCAGTGGCCCACCAGAGGCAGGCGCTAGGGCACAGGGCTGAGAGGCTCCTTGGAGACTGGCACACTAGGCAGGGACTTCAGGTACTCCAGGTGTCGCCTGGCATCTTCCTGGTTGTGGCGCACGTAGTACACGACATAGGCAATCACCATGGTGAACCAGCAGAACATGGTGACCAGCATGGCCACATCAGTGGTCTTCCGGTGGGTACTGCAGAAGCTGGCACCCGAGTCCAAGACCTGGATCAGTGGCTTCCCCACGAACTGCTCCTGTGCTGAGGTGTGGCAGGCAATTTCATCCACAGAGTCAGGGTCCAGTTTCAGCTCCCACAGGGCCTCCTGCAGAGCACACTCACAGTGCAGTGGATTGTGGGACAGGCGGATCTTGGCACTCAGCTTGCCCAGTGCGTCCTTTGGAATTCTTCGGATGCGATTGTGGGATAAATCCAGAAGCCGCAGGCCCCCAGCCAGACCTGAGAAGGCTGCAGGCCCAATGGCCTCGATGGCGTTATGGGACAGGTCCAGCTCCCTCAGCTGGGGCAGGTTCTGGAAGGCTCCATTGGGGACTCGGGAGATTCTGTTGGCATCTAGCTTCAAGAGCACCGTGTCCGCTGGGATGTCCCTAGGGATCTCCTGCAGGCCTTTTGAGCTGCAATGGACAGTCACAGCCCCAGCATGGTCAGGGCACTGGCAGGCCTGTGGGCAGGAGGCACCTAAGCGCAAGCAGAAGAGGATGAAAAAACAAGACCCTTGGGAGGGCGCCAGTGGGGATGAGGGGCTCTGTCTGCCCCTGGGGCCCATCTTGCCTCCACCTGACCCAGGTGGCTCTTCTCTACTGGGATTTGCAGGCGGGTGTCCTTCCCCACGTTGCGGGCAGTCATCCAACACAAACTCTGTGTCCTCACCTGCAGAAGAGCCTAATGGTCTCAGTTCTACAAGAAAAAGAGAAAGAGAGGTGGGGGGGTGACCAGCACTGCCCATTACCGTCCGTCTGGGAGGACAGAAAGCAGGGAGGGAAGGCGTCATAGACACACCAGGTTGGAGGCAGGGTTGCAGGCTATCAAACATACCTGCCTTGTAACTTACTCTGGAAGATTCCCAAGGCCACCCAGAGAAGCATCTCCCAGCTAAAAAAGACAACTAGAGCTAAACGCTGGCTGGAGACCGGCCCTAGCGAGATGGTTACAGAACCCTGCCCTTGCCCTGGTCACCCACCCATAGCTGGGGACCCAAGTCTGGGCGGAGGCCCAGGGATCCATCTCTCTCTCTCCCCTCCCCCAACTCCAGGCGAGTGCTGGCCAAGGGCTTCCCTCCCGATCTGTGCCAGCCAGGTCGGGCGGGGCAGGTGGCCGCGTGTGCCCATTTGTCCCTCAGCACTTCGGCTACCTGTGACACCTTGAAGACTGCGGCCATCAGTAGAGCTCGCGGGGCGCTCCGAAGCAGCAGCTCCACGCCCGCGGCGCTGGGGGCAGCGGAGAGGAAAAGCAGCCAGCCCCCTGCGTGCGGCCGGGCTGGGCGAGGAGCGGCGGCAGAGAGCAGGGTGGCAGGGCCGGGACACCGGGGCTCCGCGGGTGGGAGGCCACGCGGGCGGGTAGGGGCTTTACCTGAGCGGCCGTGGCTGCTCTGAGCCTTCCGAGCTTCCCGAAGCCTGGCCAGAGCTCTCCCAGCTCCGCGGCGAGCCGCCCCGCGCCCACCCAGCGGCCAGTAGAGGAGGGCGGCTGGCAAGCCCGGGCGGGAGGGGCGGGGGCCTTTGAGATAGGGGAGGGACCGGCAAGAGGAGGGGCAGGATGGTGGCGGGGTCGGAATAAGAGGGGTGAGGCCAGGGGGGCGGGGTTCTGCCTGTTGGGGCGGGGCCTTGAAGGGAGGGACAGGGTGGAGAGGCGCCTTGCTATAGGGATGGGACCGGTGAGAAGGGGTCCTGATAGGGGGCATTGGTGTTGTGTGCCTTAGGGGACGGGGCGGAGCCTGTTGTGGGTGAGAGGTGTCCAGGTAAGGGCGTGGTCTGAGTGTTGAGGGGCGGAGTCTCTGAGGGGCGGTCCTTGTGCTAGGAGAGGGGCCTGTAGGAGGAGGGGCTGGGTAGGGGAGAGTCTTGTTTGAGGGTCAAGGCCCTAAGGGGAAGGGCCTGATAGGGGAAGGTCTGTGTAGGGGCTGAGGCCTGTGTAAGGAAAGGTTAAACAGAGTTTATAAAAACGGTAGAAGACAGGGAGGGGAGAGGTGCGCAGGGTTGTGGGCGGGGTTCCGTGCGAGGGGCGGGGCCTGGTACAAGAACTGAACTGGCTGGGGCGGAGTCTAGGCGGGGCCTGGGAGGGCATGGGCGGGTTTAGGTATCGGCTTTCTGGGGCATTGGTAAGGGGAGTGTCCATGGGCGTGCCACGTGGCCAAGCCCGGCCCTGAGCATCCCCACCGCCTGACTGATGTCCCTCACCCCAAATCCCAGGTCCAGGGTGGAGACACCCTAAGAAGGCAGATAGGGGCATCTACCTGGGACCTGATCTTCAGCTCCAAACCTATCACCACCGGCCTCAGGAGGACCTCAGTCTCCCTTTGTCACCTGCCTTCTTCGGACAGTGGAGTCTGCATTTTCCACGACTTCTGTAAATGGCCTCCCATCACACAGGTTCTCTTTCAGACTCCTTATTTCGAGGTTCACCACGCTGAGTGGCTCTTGGGGCTGTGTGTGGGTCTCCCTAGGTCCAGTGTGTCAGTTTCTGGTCTGCTTACCTGTTCAGCTCCGGCCGGGTTTTGGTCTGGGGCTCTAACAGAAGGGCCATGAAGCACTGTGCAGCAGCAGCCTTGAATGAATACCCTGAAGGGCAGTCATGGCTGGAGCATGACTGACTTCTGGTTCCTCTGTCATACCAAATGAGGAGCCAGTGTCTCTCATTGGAGACACTCGGGGTGTGGAGTGTTGGCTTGACCTGTGGTGTGGGTCTGTGTCACCCCAGAGGTTCATGGTGTGGTCTGTTTCCTGTCTGCTCCATCACTCTGCTTTTAGCCGCGTTGTTTTCCTTGATTTTGAGTTGGGAGAGTTCTTTGAAAACATCCTTCTCAGACACATGGTTTGTTGTTTTTTTGTTTGTTTGTTTGTTTGTTTGTTTTCGTTTTTCGAGACAGGGTTTCTCTGTGTAGCTTTGCGCCTTTCCTGGGACTCGCTTGGTAGCCCAGGCTGGCCTCGAACTCACAGAGATCCACCTGGCTCTGCCTCCCGAGTGCTGGGATTAAAGGCGTGCGCCACCACCGCCCGGCCGACACATGGTTTGTAAATATTGTTCCTCAGTCTGTGTGGACTGATCTCCATTCTTCCCACAGTTTTTCCCACAGTTGGGTTGTAATTTTGAGGGAGTCTAATGGCGATTTTCTTTCTTTGGAGGATTATGATTTTGGGTGTCATATGTAAGATGCCTTTGCCTGAGGTAAAACCATGGGGTTTTATAGAGGTACAGATCTGGGTTTAGAGTTAATCTGGATACATAGTATGAGACATGGTATATGGACAGCCCATTTTGTCTGGATGTTGAGAGGATCATCCTTTCTCTAGTTTGCTGAGAATATTTTTTAAATCAAGAGTAGAGGTTGGATTTTGTTTTTGAAGGTCTGTTAACAGATTATATGGGATTATAGCAACTGATCTCCACGTGTTAAATTGGCCTCTGTTTGGGGAGAAAGCCCACTTGCTCATGATGTTATCGTCTTTGTATGTAGTTGAATTATTTACCATGTTTACAAGTGCTGAGTTTTCCCCTTTAGCCTAATGTTTTGTGTCACTCAAGAAAGTGACATCTCACCTCCAGTGCCCTGCGCTCCCCAGTGCCCTGCGCTTCCTCTCTGAGAATTCAGGATAGGCATGTATCAGTTGACTGTTGATCAACTCAGAATGACAGCTTGTGGGTTAAAGTGGCTTCTCCACTGTCTCACTTTTCCCAGTGGATTTCCACTCTGGACTTTCTTCTGTCCTCTGCTTGCACGTGTTTAATCCCCTCTTCGATTTCTAGTTTCCTCGGCTAGAGGCTGAGCTCCGGGGCACTGCTTCCTTCTCCAGCATAGGCACGCCCTCTCATCTTGTTTCAGCTGCATCCCAGAACTTTGGATTTTTTTTTAATTATCACCAAGTTTAAAATACTCTATAACCTCTCATTCTGCTTTTTAAAATAGGTATTTATTTTGTGCTTGTGTGGTCAGGCTAATGCCACCCACGTGTGTGGAGGTCAGAGGACAACTTGGAGACGTTGGTTCTCTCCTTCCACCACATGGGTCCTAGGGATCAAACTTGGGTCCTCAGGCTTGGCCGCAAGCATGACTTTCCCACTGAGGCATCTCATCAGCCTCTCCATTTCTTGTTTGTCCCATGAATTTAGCCGTATGTCATTCAAATTCCAGATGTTTGGAAAATTTCCAGCAATCTTTCTTTTATTGCTAACTTAATTCGATCCATTGTCAGAGCATATATTTTATGTTTATATTTTATGTTTCAGGACCTCTTAATTTTATTGAGACCCATTTATGGTCCAGAATCTGGAGATGGCTTGCACACACTCCAAATACTGTTCTTCTGCTCAGTGGGGTGTTCTGTATCTGGGATGGAGACTGCTGGCTAAGTTGCAGAGAAGCTTCTGGAATTACCAACTCACCTGCTTGCTCTAAAAGTGACCGATATGTGGGGACTGAATCCCTGGTTATAACTGTAGATTAAGGCCATCAAGATCGCTCAGCTGATGACAGCACCTACTGACGCCTGATAGTCTGAGTTCGATTCCCAGAATTCCTCAAAAGGAAGAGAGCACTGACTCTACAGTTGTCCTCTGACCTCCACATGTGTGCTGTGGTGCACACACACACACACACACACACACACACACACACACACCACAATAATAAATAACATATTTTTTGTCTGATTTGTTGTTGTTTTTTTTTTTGAAACAAGTTTCTCTGTATAGCTCTGGCTGTCCTGGATCTTGCTCTGTAGACCAGGCTGGCCTTGAACTCAGAGATCCACCTGCCTCTACCTCCCAAGTGCTGGGAGTAAGGGCATGAACCACCACCACCCAACTAAAATAAAATGTTAAAAAAATACATTTTAAAAAATTATAGATTACTCTACTTTTCGTGTGTGTGTGTCTGTGTTTGTGTATGTATGACTACATGAATGTATGTGTGTGAACACACATGTATACACGTGTTCTACAGGAAGTTGATCTTGAGTGTCTTCCTCAGTCTCCACCTTAGTTTTTGAGACAGTGTCTCTCACTTAACCCAGTGCTCACCAATTTGGCTCGTCTAGCTGGCCAGCAAGCCCCAGGAATCCTCCTGTCTCCACCTCCCCAGCACTGAGACTACAGGCACATGATGCTGTGCCTGGCTCTTTTGACATGGGTGCTGGGAGTCTGAACTCAGTTTCTCATGCTCACGCAGCAAGCACGTTACCAACCGAACTGTCTCCCCAGTGTCTGCTCCGCTCATGTTGAACCCTCATGTTTTGACCCCATGTGTTCTTGACTAACTGACCCTATTGTCACTGTGAATTGGTCCTGTGGATCCCTAGAAATCCCCCTTGTCTTCTGTTAATACAGCCAGGCCAGCTTCCTTTTGGTCGAGTGAAGGTAGGACGTTCCCACCTGTCCTTCCTCATCACATAAGGGGACTTTCCATTTCAAGCCACTTCCTTCAAGGTCCCACAGTGTCGATGCAGTGCTCGAAACCAATCAACTCCAGAGGGAAAAAACAGTAACTCCACAGCGGAGAAAGTGCGTCCGTGTGGCCAGCTGTGCTGGTTGCTCTTCCCATTGCTGAACAATTTGACAAGCGACTTACAGGAGGATTGGTTCTGGTTAATAGTTTGAGGCTGCTGTCCTGGTTGGGAAGACAGCAGGTGCCCGTCCACAGCCCGGAAGGCAGGATTTGTTCAAGACTCGCTTACTCCCATCTTAGAGGACCAGGAAGCAAAATGACTGACTGATGGCATTCAGCTGCCTTTTTCCTTCCTCCTCTGTTATTCTACCTAAGCCCCCAGCCCATGGGATGGTGTCACCTTTACCAGTTTAAATGAGGTGGGTCTTCCTGTCTCATTTAAACTCCTCTAGAAACACTCTCACAGACATGTCTAGAGGTGTTCTTCAGCCTTCTAGATGATTCTAAGTCCCGCCAAGTTTATAATGATTAGTCATCACACAGGGGATATGTCTTTAGTGATCAGACAGATGGTAGCTACCCATCGAGAAGCATACAAGGCCTGCTCTGGTGATGTCCTGCCCAGTGACTCCCTTCATGCAGCTGTGAGAAGACAGCAGACATGCTCAAACACACTGTCCAGAATGACAGAGTGCTCAGGGATGAAAAGATCACTACAGACAGCAGAAGTCTGAATCACTGATGCAGATGGAGGAAGCTAAGCAGTCAGTGACAACTGGTCTACCTCAGTGCAATGGGCTCCTAAGATGAAAGACAGCTATGGGAAATCCAGAGAAACTGAGTCAGCATTGCAGCTAGACTGCAGCTGGTTGGCCTCTGGTGTCTCCTGGCACTGCTGTCTTGGTTTAAAGGATGGCTGGGAGGGAGAAGGGCGCTAAGCAACCCCTCAACACATCTTTGTGTCCTCATCTCCTGCATTGGACTAGGCATTTGGGCCCATAACTTGAACATTGGAGGCTTGGACCCTAGCATGGTACTTCAGGAAGGTGGTGGAATCTTTGGGATGTGGGACTCAATGGGGGAGGGGGAATCTTAGGTCATTGTGGAGGTACCCTTGAAGGAAACAATGGCCTGCATCTCTCAGCTGGTGGACCTGTGATTGGTTTGTTCTGCTCCCATACGCTCGCTCCACACCCACCCTTGTCCATCATACCATCAGCACGTGCAATGACTCAATCTCAGGACACAGGGACACAGCCAGAGCAGAGCCAGTCATTTTTAAGATACGTTTTCTCAACAGCATGGGCCAGACAGAGCCTCCTCCTTTGTACCGCTGGAATCCTTGTTTCTCCCAGAATTCCTAGATCTCCCAGGATTCCTGGATCTCCAGGGCTTCCTGGATCCTCCAGACTTCCTGACTTTCTGCATTGTTTTGAAGCCTGAACTGGAAAAAGGACACCGCTGCCCCCAGGACTGTGTCCTCTCAGGTTCCATGGAGCCACGCGGCAGCCCTCACTGGGCTACCTGTTGCTTCCCAGAGACCCAAGACTTGTGTTGCTTGGCAGGAAATGTCAATCAGACCACTTCCTTCTGGGCATCTAGGCTTCTTTCCTGGGAACCAGGCTGCCTCCACTGGTTCATGCCAGCTCAGAATATGTCCCCCAATCTACTGGGAGAGGCCCTGCCCCCCACCCCAGAGTTCACATGCTTTCCTTTGTTCCGGTGGTCCAAGTTGAGTCCTGGACTTTTTCGAGATTAATTTTTATTTTTTTATTTTATTTATCTTTTTTTGTTTGTTTGTTTGTTTGTTTTCGAGCAGGGTTTCTCTGTGTGGCTTTGGAGCCTGTCCTGAAACTTGCTCTGTAGCCCAGGCTGGCCTCGAACTCACAGAGATCCACCTGCCTCTGCCTCCCAAACTCTTTAATCCCAAGGGATTAAAGGCATGCACCACCACTGCCCGGCAAGATTAATTTTTAGATAGACTGATCATACCAGTCCTTTATTGTCCCATCCCATTAAACCTCAGCATTGCCCACCCCTACCCCAGCTTCAGAGTTGGTCTTGTAGCCAGTACCAATCCCTGAGTCATAGGTCACCCTGTCAGAGAATGGTACATTCCTCTAGAGGCCGTGACAGGATGCACTGTCTTCTTCTGATACTTTCTGTATCCAGCAGGTCAGCTGGAGCTGGGGGATGCCCTGCTTGAGTGCTTTCCGAAGAGCACTTCTAAAGTCTAGGGATGACGATCATTCATCTCAAAGCCCTCACTGCCTCCCCAGTGCCTGTGACCCAGCACCGGCCAGGAATCATGAGGACAGTGTCTCTTCCTGAAGGAGATCCAGCCTCTATCTGCCTTCTGCCTAGGATAGAAGGCTCCCACAATGAGGACAGAAGTCCCTCCAGGAGATAGCACCTGCCCCAGAGGGAGCACTTCCAGTCAGGATTATGGGTAGTGGCAGCATCTGGCTGGACAGGGCCCCATAAAGCCAAGGTCAAGGCATGGTACCTGAGGACACAGGCACCAGGAGCCACTGAATACACTCTGTCCTCATCCGTAATCCCGTTGTAGCAGAGGTGACTTTCAGGACAGCACCTCTGGGGACTTGTTAAGATCCTATGGTCACCCCAACCCAGCACCACAACCTACCACCCCAACCCAGTACCCTAGTCTGCCACCCAGACCAAGATAAAGCAGCCCAAGTGGTGTTGGGGAACATTGGTGGCTAGCCATGCCTGCCCCTGGAGCTAGTTCCACCAGAAGCCACAGTCAGAAGTGAGCTCCAAACAGCGAGGCCACCTTTTGGAGGATGGTCTTGTGGTTTGCATACAGGGGGATGCGCCGATCCACCACCTGCCATTCAGTAGACATCTGCAGGCCGTAGGTCGACTCCTTTGGATCATGGGTGCGCAGGTTCTGCAAGGACAAACAGCCTGTGTCCACCCAGCAACCTGAATCCTCAGGCGGCAGGGGCCAGTGCAGCCTACAAGATTGCCTCCCACCCATAGCCAGCTTTACTGTATGACACAAGATCACCTGCTCTGGGTGCCTGAGCTGGCCCTGCTGGACACCAGAGGCCAAAATGAATGAAAGAGATGTGACCTTACTCAGAGGCCTTTAGCCTGCCAGGACAACCTGGATTTCACAGGGTGGGACTCTCCCACCCTGGTTCTAAATCAGCAATAGGGAGGAACTGTTCTCAGTGCCAGTGGACAAATGTCCTGTAAAGAGGGCACAGGGAGTGGAGAGGCCATACCAGCCTCTCTGGACATGGTCCTCAAGTCCTCCTGTGGCAGTTAATATTGACTGTCAACTTGACAAGATCCAGAATCACCTCGGAGACAGATCCCTAGGCAAGTCCATGAGAGGATGTCTAGATTGGATTAACTAAAGGGGGGAGGGTAAGAGCGTCTCTGAATGTGGATGGCACCATTCCCTGAGATGAGGTCCTGGGATACATAAAAGGGGGAGGTTGAGCTGAGGATCAGCATCCTATTTCCTGACCGCAGATGGAATGTGATCAGCTGGTCCATGCTCCTGCTGCCGTGACTTCCCAGCCATGGTCACTGCGAGCCAAGATAGACCCTAACCCTTACATTGCTTTTTCTCAAGTATTTGGTCACAGCAGTATAACTAATACACAGAAAAATAACTAATGTATCTCCTCACCAAACCACCTGAGTGCAGGCCCCTACTGCCTCTCCCTGGTGCCCCTTTGGTCCCTCCGTGATGAGCACCTGCCTCAGTCTCCTCACCCATGGACAGCTCTGTCAAGACCCCAAGGCAGACCCACTACTGAGAAGGCCCTGAGATGTGTCCAGAGCATTTCACCACGTGAAGGCTGGCCTCATACCTCTTCCAGACTCTTCAGCTCCACATCATTCTGGCCCTGGAAATGGATGCTGATAGCCACTGTCTCAATCCAGGCATTGTCTGTGTTCCTCGGGTCATCCACATACCCTTTGTACACCTGGAGGCCAGGACAGGGGTGAGCTATCAGGCCCCCAGTGATGGGGCCCTGACTCCCCAGGCCACCGTGGAAGAGCTCAGATCCACAGTGCCTCCTGGGGCAGGGTCTGAACATGGCTGGCCATCCTGTTCAGCCCCTGACCTGCCTCTCCCCCCTCCCCATGATTGAGGCTGCCCAGTACATGCTTTCTTCCTGGCCAGTCTCAAGCCCCACAGCCTCCTGACCCCACGACTAGCCTCTAGCACAAGTCAAGCATAGGACCCTGCTGCCTGCACTGGGAATCCTCAAGGATTCTGCTCAGGGGGAACCCAGACAGCAAAGGTCACTGCTACACACCACACTCAAAATGAGAGTTCAGAACAGCAATCCTTGAGATAAAGGCAGATGGCTACCCCAGGGCACAGGGGCTTCTTCGGGGGTGATGAGATGTTGGAACTAGATAGGGATGGTGGCCACAGAGTGTTAGCAGTTTATCAAAGTGAGGGAATTGCTCATTCTAGAGGAAGCCTCTGTCAGCCCCCTAGTGGAGCTAAGGAGAGATCCCAGGAAACTTAAATAGCCTCCAGGGGAAGGGGGCTAGCCTGGGCTTTCTCAAAGAGGGTGAAGTGCAGGCATTCCAGCCTCGTTGCTGGGTGTCCATGTTTATCCATGGAGTTACTCCAGATTTATGTGATATGAATTTTACTCTGGTAAGAAAAGAAATTGTTTTACATTGTAAGAGAGAAGGTAGTGGTGTCCAGGGAGGCGCTGTGCTGATGAAGCCATCCAATACTGTGGGACTTCTTAGGAAACAGCAGGTGCCACCAGCCACCACTCTTGTTCCTTAGACACAGAACAGCTGGACCACCCCTAGAGGGCTGTTGACATTGGTCACAGTATAGGCAGCAATACGTTAGTCCCAACGGACACGGAGATGAACTTGTAAATCTGGACTATACAGCATCTCAGCTGTTGAGAAAAAGGAGGTCATAGACTGCTCATGGCCCGTGTCCATCAGGAATGTACGTATCTGTGTGCAGAGAGTCTGGCTAAGGAAGGTGGAGGATCCTATAAAGAAGTAGGCATCAGAGCCCTGCCTAAGGATCCAGGCATGCAGGGACTCAGCACAGGGGCTCAACACACAGGGCTCAGTGCACAGGGAGTGGGTCCTACCTCTGTACCTTGCACCAGCAAGGTCTCAAAGGGCACCCAGAACTCTTGCCGGAGGACCCGCTTCAGCTTCCGTGGCAACATCTCCCCTGGTTCCCGAGACCCCTGAGCAGAGAGGAGATGAAGGCCAGTCAGCAAGGCAGGCAAGCTGGATCCCGGTCAATCCAGGAACCCATCTCTTCTGGCCACCTGCCCAGTGTAGGCAGCCAGCCAGCCCCCTGGAAAGCTGAAGGCGGCAGTGTCTGTCAGTCAAGGGTCAGCTCTCGGGCTGTGTGACACTGCCCAGACCCACCATCCGCGTCAGCAGTCCACAGCCTGCGCAGGAGCATGGGGCTAAAGAGGAGCAGGGACAGCCACTGTGACTCCATGAAGGCAACCAACCTCCCACCACCTCCCACCATGCTGGCACCAGAGAGGGACAGGCGCTGTCCCCTAATTGTGGGCTTGTCCTCAGTCCCTCCTGCCTGGTCCCTGCTGCTAGGCTATCAGCACCCAGTAAACCTAGATGCTGCCCTGACCCTGCAATTCAGCCTCTAGCCTGAAGACCCTAGTTGACACCACTGCCCCATACCACTTACAGGGACACGGGGATAGACAGAAGTCTTAAGAGCAGGACCGCTTTTTGTTGAGTTGGAGAAAACCACAGACCCAGGGAATCGGGACAGAGGAGAGGCCTTGCCAGATGGGCTACATTATAGATGCTGTGTGCCACAGCCAGGGTCAGGCTAGACTTGATCCTCCTGACAGGACAAGGCTCTCTGACCCCTGATCTAAGCTGGGCCTGGGGGTGAGGGGGCAGGAATAGCTGATCTGGGGGAAGAAATGATCAATATGGAGTCACATGGGCATGGATGGCCCGGGGCCTCTGCACCCCAATTCTGTCATTACTAAAGGGCCTCTGCAGTGCCCATTCAACTTTAGTCTCACAACCAGCTACCGTTCCTGAGGCAAAGGCCTGTGCAACACCCCAACCGTTAATCCTTAAACAGCAAGCACCCTCTGCCTTTAGGGCTCAACTCAGAATCTGAAGGGAGAAGCAACCCATGTCTAAGTCACTGTGAATTGTCCCAGTACTGAGCTCTGCCACCCAGGGCAGCCTGGCCTGGGATACACTAGACTGTGAGCCTGTGAGGGAGCCAGGGAGGGAGCTCCTGAGAGACACTGCACCATATCGGCTCACCCAGGGCGATGGGAGGCTGGGACTGTCCCTGTCCCTGCCAGTGACAGTGGGTGGGATGGACAGACACAGTGCCTGACTTACCCCCGGCAAGGCCCAGTGCTCGGAGTGGGGCAGCTTCATCACCAGCACCTCCAGCATCTTTCTGACGCTCTTCCGGCAGATGGCTCCGCCCTGGTTCCTCTTCCACCTACATGGGGGACCCACTTACACCTGCGGGGCCACGGGTGCCCTTGTGCGGAGCAGCTGCAGGGACTGGCTGGGCCTGGAGGCAGCATCGGACCCACTGCTGCCTCCCTCACAGCCCGTACCCCCCCACACCTCCCCCCGTTCTCCTCTCCCCTCTCTGCCCCCTCCATCTTCTTCTCTAAGCACCTAATCCCCAGGCAGAATAGAGACAGAAGCCACAGGGGGAAAGTCCATCCCTGCCTCTGACCCAATTGTCCAAGGCCACAGCCCTCTGGCCCTGAGAGAGCCCAGTGCCTTGTTGGCTCCATGCAGCCTGGGCTAAGACCCCCAGGGGATTCCCCAAGTGCAGCCAGTCAGAACCAGCCCAGAAGGTAGGTGGGACCCAGGGTCAGAAGCATCATGTGGTTAAAAGGCTTGAGAGGGGAACACGTGGGTGTGCACACAAGGCTGTGTAAGAGTGTGGATAGGTACATATCCCCTGGTAGGAAAACTCCCAAATCTTAACCTTTCAGCGGGATTGTGGGTGGGTTTTGTTTTGTTTTACTTTTTGCAATTTCCGTAACTTTTTCTCTTTAGTAGAAGCTCTAGACCGTTTTTATCAGCCCTCTATCAGGGCTAAGGAGGCACCCTAAGAAACTTAAGCAGCCTTCAGGGGAAAAGGGGTAGCCTAGGCTTTCTCAAAGAGGGTGGGACGCAGGGTATGTGTCTGTGTTCTTCCACACAGACTTCCACAAAGTATCAAGTACCAAGTCCATTCTCTAGGCCCTCAGAACACGTGGGGGTAGGGCTATCTTTGGAAGCAAGGTGCTGATGCCAGACACAGGGCTCACCGAGTAACCACCGGCTGCAGTGTGTGGTTGGGTCCAAACCAGCTGAGGCTTCCACGTCCACGCAACCCCGTACGGCCCATGGGGTTCCTAGGTTAGAAAGGATTAACTTAGCCTTTACACCTGCTAGAGACAGTGCTAAGAGGGAAACTGAGCAGCGGCATGGGCAGGTGGGGCCAAGTCACAATGGGCATAACAGGGATAGTGTGCCAGCTCCTGCCAACCTGTCCTGGCCCCTCTGAGATCTCCACAGGGTGAAGCCAGGGTTTCTGGTCAGTGTGCAACCACCCCGGCCAGCCCTCCTCCACAGAGAGGGTTAAACACTCAGAGGCCTATGTCTGATACTTGTGGCCACAAATGGGTAACTACGCTTGAAGCCAGGCTGAAGGGACCAGTCTGTGGATACATGGACTCACTGCACCCCTGGAGTACAGAGTGCTAATTACAGGCAGCACAGGGGCTTCTCACTGTGCCAGGGCCCCTCTCCCTCCTCTCATCCCACCAGACCTCATTCCAAATCAGGTCTAAGAATTGGTGGGCCTCATGTCTTCAACACTAAACAAGGGAGACACACCCCTGCACCACCAAAGGACGTGTGCAGCCTCCTCCACATATGACCCCCCCAGCCCACCACTCCACATCTGCCACCTGTGGACGGGCTCTGCTTCCTTCGGCAGCTCCTAATGCCCACCGACAGCCTCCCTCCCTTCTCTCGTCCATCTCTAACTGCTCAGCCGAGGTCCTGGTATTCCCACACCACCCAATGGGTTGGTACTGGCATGGAGCTATTGGGAGATGGAGCCCTTTGGAGGTGAGGCCTGGTGGGAGGCTTCAGGTCACTAGGATGCCCATTAAGGTGACAAGGGAACCCCAGCTTCCTTTTCCTCTCGTTTGCTTCCCAGCCATGAGGTGAGCAGCACTCTCCACTCCACACACTCTGCCATGACGGGGTTACCTCCCTGTCACAGGGCCACCAGGGCCACCTTGGCTCTGTACTAAAGGCTTTCAAACTGAGGCCACAATGACATTTCTTTGTTTCTTAGCTAGTTGTCCTAGGTGTTTTGTAACGACGGAAAGCTGACTGACTCAGCACCTCCTCTGCCTTAGACGAGCCCCCCCCCCACACACACACACACACACTTCAGCAGTGTGGCTCAAGTGAGGAACACTCACTCCAAACACTAGTGTAGAAGAGAAAAGATAATGCCTCCTTATCATCCGCACTTGTCCCCACCAAAGCTCACGTCAGATCCACCCTATCATTAGATACGTGGGGCGCTGGCGTCAGGTGGGGCCTTCAGGAAGTGATTGCTCACACAGACAATCCTAGCCATGTGACATCCTGCACCTCCTCTGCCTCCATCACCAAGAAGGCATCATTGGATGCAAGCCCTTGACCTTGGGCCAGAACCATGAGCCAAAATCAACCTTTTTTTCCATAACCTACTTAGTCCTCGGTATTCTATTATAAGTGACATAAAACAGACATAGCCAATGATTTCCTGGAAACTATGTCCAGGAAAATATAATTTAAGCAAAAACAGTTTGAGTCCTAACTACATAAGTATGTTATTGTATAAAAATTATTGGGGCTGGGAGATGACTCATTAGGAAACTTGTTGGCCATGCAAGCATGAGGACCGAAGTTCAAATCTTCGGAACTCATGTAAAAAAAAAAAAAAAAAAAGTGAGTGTGAAAGAACACACCTGTCCTCCCAGGGGTGGCAGAGACAGGAGGATCGCTGACCAGCCAGTTTAACCAACTGCTGAGCTCCCGTCTCATTGAGAGACCCTGCCTCAAAAAGTAAGTTGGAGAGTGATCGGGGAGACCCAACCCCTCTGGTCTACATGTGCACAAACACACAGGAGCACCCTGAGCCCTGTCAGGTCCCTCCTGCTCATCTGTTTCTACACAGCTGTCGTGGCAGCGGGTATTCACCTGTCATCCCAGCATTGCGGTCACTCATCCCACAACTGATATTCCTTCCCAAGCATTCTTCGCCCCATCCATCATGGCCCCATCATGAGGACACCCAGGCTAGAGCCCTGGTCTATTTCATGCAGCCTCTCCCCTGCTGCTCCAACCTCTGGCTCCAGGGACAATAGCCCACTCTCTGTATTCCCCAAAAACCCATCTGCCTCCCACTTCCCTCAGGCCCCACAGCGTCCTCTGCTCCACTGCTCCCCCTGCTGGCCACATCCCATCTGGAAGCACAGCGGTGTTTATGGGTCTCTTACTGTCTTCATATAAGTGGTAGATGCTGGGCAGGGTTACCATCCCTAATGTGGGCCCCCTAGCCACGAACTCTGGCAGCAGAATGCTCTCCTCACACCTGACTGTGGTCCCCACTTTACCAACCATGAGTCAGTCCCCAGGTACCAATAGACCCATGCACCTGGGACCCTGCTAGGGTGATACAGGAGCCTTCTTGGGAAAGATACAAAGAAAGGCTTTGTACCTTGAGCAGACTCTAAGGAAATGACACAAGTTGAGTTTCTTTTTCTCTTGTTTTCTTTTACCAGAAAGAAATACCAGCTTGCTCAGAGATGAATTCACCCCAAAGGCCAGCTTACTAACACCGGCTAAGGCTGGGCATACTCACAAAGGGAGCCCATCCTGGACCACATAGGCTCCATGGAAGCTACGACGGTCCGTTGGTCCATCCACAACATTGTAACTGATCTTCGACAGAGGTTCTGCCATGCTGGGGGCAAGAAAGAGGACATGTCCTAATAAGAGGGAGGTTATGGCAGAGCAGAGACACAGAGGGACAGGGGCTCAGCCTCTACTGGTAGCCCCAATTCAGTGACCACAGGCCTTTCCTTTGAGAGGGGCCTCTGGCCACAGGTCATGTCCATTGTCAGGATGAGTTGTGCCCTTGGGTCTCTGGGGCAGATGAAGCAGAGCCTGCCCAGGCCTACCCTAGGTGAATTCTGGGGTCTCTCTGGAGAAAGGGCCACTTACTCTCCCACAGGATCTGTGAGGGCCATGTCTTTCTTCTCAGCTGTGTAAAATGGGGGTTCGTAGATCAGAAACTCCGCCTACAACACAGCACATGAGCTTCCTTAGAGTTTTGCCCTACTTCCAGGCAAGCAAGGCGGGGGGGGGGGGGGGGGGGGGGGGCTGGGCTACAAATGGGCCCAAGAGCAGCTACAGCTGAGGCCACTACCCAACCAAGACCAAACGTCCTCCCCAGGTGTGCATGGGCATCTCTCAGCCCTGGGAGAGCTGAGGGAGAATTCCAGATGCACACTCCAATGGGACCAGCCCAAGCATTGCTATGGATGGTGTAAACCCTTCCAGAGGTGGGACAGAGGCTACATGGGCCCCTAGAGATAAAAAGAATTCCATACAGCAGAGAAAGTAAGGAGGGAGCTTCAGTCTGGAATGTTCCAGATGAATTGAGAGAAAACCCTGGAGGCTGGAATGGCAAGCGGATGCCATTATCCCTGTCTCTGTGTCTCTCTTTTATGCCTGTCATAAAAAGGGGGGGGTAGTTGCTCACTGGGAACCAAAGAGTCAAGAACAAGATGGATGGGATGAGGCCGGAGCATGTGAGGAGCTCCAGAAGCAGCCCTGGGCCATGACTCTGTGAGGCCAGATCGCCTCACCAGGCCCTTCCACATTTGGGCTGTATGGCTCATGTGATTTAATCTCTGCATGCCTTGCTTAGTTTCCTCATCTGCCAAATACTCTGATGATCAGAGAGGCTGTAATGGGTAGAGGCCACTATGAACACGGGAGGAACTCTTCTCCTCCCCTAGAGCCAAGCCTCTCCTGCATTGGTTCACATAAGAGTTATACTCACCTCCCACGGCACCTTCTCATTGGGCACGGGGAAGCGCATGATGCGGGCATTGGGGTAGAGGAGGTGCCGGGCGTTCACATGGTAACCATCTCCAGGTTCCTCTGCTTTCCTCCTGATGTTCAGTTCAGCATCTGGCTCATCGAAGGTCCTTTGGGATGCTGGAAACAGACACATGTTTGGACACCAGCCCTGAGACCCCACTTCCCATCCCAGGAATCTCAGCCACAGAAGGACAAAAAGCTAGGTCAGCATTGCCTAGCAGACACCTGCCACTGAAGCCACACTTAAATGTCTCAGCAGTGAGCTAACCTCACAGGCTGTGACAGGGTCTGTCCAATTAATGGGGGCAAGTTTGCTTCCTGCGGGCCAATCACACCTAAGGAAGACCGTTCATGTCTATTTTCTGACTAGCCGCACATTTAGGGAAACGGGCTTTGCTTTCTATGCCTTGGTGAACATGACAGTCTCAGTCACCTAGAACTATTCCCTGCCCCCAACTTTGCAGCAAGCTGTGCGGAAGGAGGTCAAGGAGGCATGGCGTGCTGCCCCCAGGAATCCAGTTAACTGCTAAAGCCAGGAGAGACCAGCTCATAGGTGGAGGTGAGAGCTGGCCCCATTGGGCATCAAGATAGCTACAGCCAAAATCCCTACAACAGCCTCTCCTGCTAACCCATCCCCCAGACTCAAAACCACACGGACTCTTGGAGAAAGCTACTAAGAGACCATGTACTCACCCAGGGTCAGCACACCTGCCTCCGAGCCAAAGCCACTGTCCTTCAGGGTTGTCACGATCCAGTGCAAAGCTCTGGCCGTCTGAGCTACCTGGATGGCATGGCCCAAGAAAGACTAGGTTGACATCTGTGGTCCACATTATACATGTGGCTTATGGCCTAGAGGACTGGCCTCACTCCCCAAGGGACCCAGGCACCCTGTTGGGCCATGCAGCCTCAGAGGAGAACTTGAGGTTGGTCCTCTGGCCTCGGTCAAATTTAAGACATAGTCCCAAGAGGTGGCCTTGAATAGAGAAGGGAGCCATGTGGACTCTGGGACTGCCAGGACTGTGTACTGATGTGGGTGCCTCACCGTTCAAACCTGCAGGGGGCTCAGGGCAAAATGCTTGGGTAGAATGTAATAGGGAGTAAAGAAGGTGCTCCTTCCAATGGATAATTCTCTGAGTGTGTGTGTGTGTGTGTGTGTGTGTGTGTGTGTGTGTCTGTCTGTCTGTCTGTCTGTCTGTCTGTCTCTATCTCTCTCTTTCCCTCTGTCTCTATCTCTCTCTCAATCACTCACTCACTTGCTCGCTCACTCTCTCCTTTCCCCTCTCTCTCTCTCATAGACCTCCATTCTACATCTTTCCCCCAAAGTTCTTGGTCTCAGTGTCACCACACGACAAAATGCTCCACCAGGCCCCGACTGCCAACCTACCTGTTCCTCCAGGGAGACCAGCCTCTGCTCCATGGAGCCGGACCTCTTCACACGGTCCATGTCCAGCAGATCCACCATGGTGTCCACTCTGACAGAGGATAAATAGACAGGCTTTAGGGACCCTGCCAACTATATAAAATATGGTACCCCCAAATCGCAGACAGCCCCAGCAAACCCAATAGCTCAAGCCTGGCATCCCGCTGACTCTCACTTCAATACTGTCTGTGATTTGAAAGTATCTACAACATACATCTCTATCTTAAAATAAAGCTGCCCCAGCAGAAGGGCAGCCCAGGTTCAGGGGGCCAGCTCAATGGGCTATCAGAGATGTCAGCTGGGAGAGGTGACAGCATTCACAGTCACCCACTTGCACAGATTTGCCCCCTGGTGCTGGGCCATGAGCTCTGAAAGCTGTCTTGGACGACAAAGCTTGTGGTGACCCTGAGTGCCGGTGGGGCACTGGGGCTGTTGGGGAATGTTTAGTTTGAACCAGAAGCCCCGCTCGCTCCCCACCGTGGCCAGCTGTGTTTAAACTACCATCCAGTCAAGGCCGGCCTGCCAAGCTCCGAGCGGCTTTGCCCAGGGATTCCTTTATTTCCTCCCACTTGAAGTGCCGACTGCCAGCAGCATCCTTTTGTAATAAAGTGAGCCACAGTGTAACATCTGATCGCTGTTTCTGGGGATGTGACCCAATTTGAACAGTCATTCAGGAAAGGGAAGCTAAGGACCACACTGAGTGTGCTGGCATCTACTTCCCCATGCATGGCATGGCTTCAGTCCACAAACGACACTCCGGTGCCCCTGCCTTTTTTTCCAAGACAACTTTGTGAACATGTGAGCGTGATATTTACAGCGTGTTTGGACCCCCATGATTCAGTCACAGTGACACACGAGAACCATCTAGATCAGCAGAAACTCCCAAACCTCCAGCCATATTCTGTGGGTGAGTAGCTGGGATCAACTTCGCTCAGCCACAGTGCCATAAGCCCTGGCACACCACACACCAGGGCGCCTCCCTGGGCCTCAGATCCCTCGCTGCACCCCCAGAGAGAAAGTGGCCAGGCCAGGGTCCTCACCGGGTCTGAGGGATTGCTCATCATTTCCCAGTCACTCTGTGCTTCGCAGCACTCACCTACTGAGTGCATAGAGTTTTGTTAAAGGTTTCTAGACCACGGGCCAGAGATTCTGAAATGTTACATCTTAGCACACTAGCTACTGTTCCCCCTAGAATGTCTGTAGGAACCATCTCGGAAATTTGCTATTTTAATAATCCTTTTCAACCTCAGGAAATAACTGGAGAAGGCCAGCTTCCTCCAGACCCCAGGCTGGAAACTGGACATCAGGTCCATTCTGAGCCTCCTACAAGAAGGGAAATCTGGGGTGAGGACTGAGTAGGCTCATGTGACTGACTTCTTCAGGTCTAGGTCCCTGAGGCAGGAGAGCACAAAATCGCCAGGACAGGCCCCCAAATCCAGACTCTACTGTTCACCAGCGGCGGACACTGTACTATTCTACTTCTGTCCCTTTCCTGAGTCTTTGCCTCCTCAGTGCAAAGATGGAGCAACCAGCATCTCTTTGTAAGAAGGACTGGGGTAAGGCCGGGCAGTGGTGGCGCACGCCTTTAATCCCAGCACTCGGGAGGCAGAGGCAGGCGGATCTCTGTGAGTTCGAGGCCAGCCTGGGCTACAGAGCGAGTTCCAGGAAAGGCTCCAAAGCTACATAAGAGAAACCTTGTCTCAAAAAAAACCAAGAAGAAGAAGAAGAAGAAGAAGAAGAAGAAGAAGAAGAAGAAGAAGAAGAAGAAGAAGAAGAAGAAGAAGAAAGGCTAGGGTAGGGGTAGGGAAGCAGGTCACATGTTCAGTCCACAGCATGACTTTGACACTGCGCCATCAGAACCCTCATGCTGACTCTACTGACCCAGCTTCAAGATCATCCTGGTAATGGAGCATCCAGACATGAGCTCCATTTCAGAAGCTCTCTGGGTGCCACATACCCCAGTATCCGGGCAGTGGACACAATCATTGTTCAAAATTAAATGGCACCATACAACCATTCTTGATAAGTGGTGACAGCAAGTTCGGAGGGGCTGCATGGACCCTGGCACCTGCCCTTAAATAGACAGTGAGAGTGTGGTACCAGCAAAGAACACAGCCCAGAGTGCCACAGGCTAGCCAGGCCAGGCCCATAGCTTAAGAACCACACAGCATTCACTGAGTTTCTGCCTGACTCTGGGCTTTCTCTGGGGGTCAAGTATTATAAGATTCTGTCCCTTCTCTCAGGTAGCTCATGAAGGGACAGCTGGATACTACCCCAGCCCACTGTGGTGGCTTGAATGAGAAATGCCCCCCACCACAGTCTTGGGTATTTGAACACTTGGTCCCAGTTGATGGCCCTGTTTGGGAAGGTTTAGGTTATTCTTGTTAGAGGAAGTATGTCACCAGTGGGTTTTGAGATTTGCTCTCTCTGCTTTGGGCTTCCAGTTCAAGAATGAGGTGAGCTCTCAGCTTCCTGCTCCTGCTGAAATGCCTGCCACCTGCCACCATGCTGTTGCCACTGTTATGGATTCTAACCCTCAGGGCCTGTAAGCCAAAATAAACTCTTCTGTAAGTTGCCTTGGTCATGGTATTTTATCAAGCTACCAAAGAGTACCTAGTACCACCCCCAAGCAATCAGTTGATACATTCACCAACCAATAAGCTTATCTCCAAATCCACCAATAAACCACAAATGAACCTGAGACAGACTCACCAAACAATGCACTCACAAAGCCATTAACCAACACACCAGCAAACTTGCCAACCAGCCAGCCTTCGTTATTATTTAGGGGTGCAGACGGGGAGTGGGGAAGCAGGAAAGACCCTTCGATACGAGGACCCTGAGTAGACAACTGCTCTAAGTAGAGGGCATTCCAAGGACAACTTGATGTCATTGTATCCAAGCAAATGCTACATCTTTGTCTAGCTCACCCATCACGATAGGTACAAGGGACTTTGATCATTGGCTAGTTCATTGAGGTTTGTTGATGTTGCCATCAGCATCACCATAACGATCAGCACTATTGGAGCCGCACCATCCCTCTCAACACCATTCTCTCCAGTACTCTCACTACCAGCATTATCATCACCATCACCAGCATCATCACTCTAGTCACCATCATCTCCAGCACTCACAACACCATCACCAGCATCATCGCCATCATCGCCATCACCTCCAGCATTAACATCATTGTCACTATTGCCATCATGCCACATCAACATCATCACCATATCACCATCACCTTCATCGTCACCATCACTGCCATCATCATCACAATCGGGTGCCCTGATTGCTTGTCTGGGCACAATGACACCCAGTTTCCTCTCCTACAAGTTGAGCATGGGTCCTGCCCCATGGGACTGCACTTGGAATGGCTTTGAGGCTACAGGGCATGGCTTTAAGGATGCATCCCCCAGGGCTCCTAGCCTCTGTACTTCTCACTGATGTCCTGGATCCTCTGTTCTGGCCGCTGTTTGAGCTGGTACTGCTGGTTCTGCAGGTAGTTCTCCTTCAGGTAGAGCTCCCAGGACAGGAGGGCTGCCTCCTCATTCTTCTCCAGTTTGTTCTCTGTAGGCAGGATGGGGTTAGCAAAGACCTGATGACCTACCTAGGGCCCCATGGAAAGGGTCCATTACTCCATATCCAGGCCCAGGGAGCTACTGGCTCATGCCAGGTGCAGGGAAAGCCCAGCAGCATGCTTAACGATGGCCCAGGGCTCTGGAAGGAACCCCACACTTGCATCTGCACCCAGGATGGTGGGACTGCACAGTGTCAGGGGCAGGGGCAGTGTTGGGGGGGGCAGGGGGACCCACTGAGCTGCTTGTGTCGCTTGGCAGGGATCTTCAGGACAATCCTCTTGATCAAGAGCTGCAGGTGGCTGAGGAGGATGAAGGGGGGAGGTGCCGGCGGCCGGCCATGGTACTCCTCAATCAGGTCATGGCGCTGGAACTTCCAGATCTGGTCTGTGTGTTCCTGCACTTCCTGGAATGTGTAGCTGGCAGGAGGCAAAGGTACAGGTATCAGAATGTTTGTGGGACACAACATTCTGGGGTCAAGTGCCTGGCACAGCCGGAGCAGGTGAACGGGAAGTAGGCCAGATGCCGAGAGGCAGCCAGCTTCTGGGAACGGATGAGGACAGGAAATCACAGGGATTTTAGATTTATACTCCTGAATAAACAAAGATGGCGTCTGTGAGGGGCTAGACATGGGCACTGGACACCGCAGAGCTTCTCTGTGTATCTAGTAATTTGAAGAAGCAGAGGATGGTGTCTCGGGTACTTCAGGTACTCAGAACTTACACAGACGCCCAGGAGCAGGAGAAAGGACATGTGCCACTTTATCAGATAGCTTTTCCTGCCTGAGGGACAGAGTCTACCCAAATCCTACCCGCACTCCCTGCCCTGATCTCAGATCTAACTAGCACATGTAGTTCTCAATGTTTAGAATACTATAAAACAGAAGGTGAACCCCTCCGAAATCAGCTGGTGAGAAAAGAATATATCGTGCACACCATAATGGAGGGACTTCCAAAGGTCACGGCCACCAGGAACCTGCCTGTAGAGACAAGAGGGCCAAGGGCTCAAGGGTTTCACTGTGGGCAGGCTGGGCCTCCCATGGCTGAGCTGTTCCCTTTCAGAGTAGGAGTGGGTCTTATGACCTGAAGTCAGTGGACCGGGGCTACTGGGCCCCTGGGAACAGTGACACAGACCGGGTGCCGTGCTGGCTCCTCAGGAGCTCCCCACACACTCTCATGAGGCTGTCACTCGCCTGCCTGTGCACACGCCAGCCCCAGAGAGCACTTCCCTGCACAGGTGCCCACACTCACTTGAACATGGCGATGAGCAGGTTGAGCAACAGGATGTTGGCAAAGAGCAGATAGAGGCAGAGCAGGGTGACCGTCAGCCACTGAGGGAAGGCGGGCGTCTGCCCTGTCCAGTCGCTCTCGGGACACTTGGGCTTGTAGGGGTCTGTGCCATTGGGGCTGCACTGGTCCATGCTGAAATTCACACCTGTGGGGAGTGGGAGGGGACAAAAAAACATGCAGTCGGTCACGAGAAACTTCCTGCCAGGGACCCTGGCCACTGGGGCACTGACCGTCCCCATAGGCTTAGACACCTGCATCCCAGGAGTTAGGGACTGGGTGTCTGGCGAGAGTCCAAACTGACAAGAGGTCTGTCTGTACTTGGGTATCCTCAAGCAGGAAGTGGGCTGTTCAGGGGGAATCTGGAGCCAGAGCTGTGTCCCAGTTGGCACTCGGCACTCCAGGATCTAGAGCGGTGGCTCAGCAGAGAAGAGCACATAACTGTTCTTCCAGAGGACCCAAGTTCAATTCCCAGCACCCACTTCAGGTGGCTCTCCACTACTGTAACTCCAACTCCAGGGGACCAGACACTTCTGACCTCTGTGGGCACCGCTATCACACACACATACCCTCACACAGACATACGCATACACATCATTAAAAATAAAATAAATTGGGGGCTGGAGAGATGGCTCAGCGGTTAAGAGCACTGGCTGCTTTTCCAGAGGTCCTGAGTTCAATTCTCAGCAATCACATGGTGGCTCACCGCCATCCATAGTGAGATCTGGTGCTGGTGTGCAGGTATACATGCAGACAGGACACTGCATACATTAAATAAATAAATAAATCTTTAAAAAAATAAAAAGAAAGAAAGAAAATAATAGAACTAAAAGAAAAAAACAACAATAACACAAAAAGGAGGAAGACACCCCAGAATGAGCTTCACAGCTCCAGACCTGGCCATTGGAAACTGAAGGATGGCTAAGGTAAGCCAGTGGACCAAACGGTCAGAGAGACCACCTGTTTCCAGCCCAAAGCCCCAAACTTCATGTAGACCCAAGGAATTCAAACCCCAAAACAATTCGGAAAATGAAGAGCAAAGCCAGAGGACTCACCATGCCCAGTTTCAGAACTTACTACAAGCTACAGCAGCAGCCATGGCAAGGAGGTGCTGGGCAAGGCCAGATGCACACCAGCGGAAAAAGATAGGAGACCCAAGATGAATGCTTTCATTCAGGATCAGGTGCCTTTCACAAGGGGCCAGGACAGCTCAGGAAGACATACTTGTCAACTGATGCTGCTGGGACAATAGACAGCCACGCGAGAAAGAATGACCCTTGCCAAGCACTGTGGTTGCAGAGTGCCAGTCCTGGGGAGGCAGAGGCAAGGGACTCCCCGAAAGCTCCAGGGTAGCCAGGGCTATATAATGAGACCCTGTCTTTAAAAAAAAAAAAAAAGGAATGGGATGGGATGAAGAGATGACTCCGAGGTTAGGCTGCTCTTCCAGAGGCTCTGGGTTCAATTCCCAGCACCCACATAGTGGGTCACATCTCTAACTCCAGTTCCAGGGAATCTGATGCCTTCTTCTGGCCTCCCTGGACACTAAGCACAAGCGGGGTACACAGACATGGTGCAAACAAACACCAATACATATAAAATAATAATAATAAAAAAAGAACGGCCCTTCTCTCACATACTAATGTGTATAGATAAAGTAGATCTGTGGCTGGATAGGGAAAGAGAACAGTATCATTGATAGGGCAAGGCTGAAAGCTAGTTTTTGCAAATGAGTCAGAGGCCGAAAGAAAGATCGAAAGCTATAAACCTTTACAAGAAAAACACACACATAAACCATTTGAGCCTTGGGCTTGGCAATGTTTTCTCCACCGTGACACAGAGGCACAAACGATTTTAAAAATCAAGCCGCACCTCATTAAAATTCTATGCTTCAAAGAAAGTGTCTTTTCATAAATAAAAAAAGATAACCTCTGTAATAACAGAAAATATTGCAAACTAGTCCTATGATAAAAGTCTTAAAAGCTCAATAATAAAAATATAATGGAAGGGGGAAAATAAGCAAAAGCTAGAAATGGACATTTCTGCTAAGAAGATGTACAAATGGTCCAGTAAGCACATGAAGATATATTCAGCAGAAGCCACAACAGAAATGCCAATCAAAACCACAAGGACACACCGCTAACATAATGAGTGTGAGGTGAGCGTCGAGAAACTGGAATGCGTCGCCTCTGTGGGAACAGTTTGGCATTTCTCAGAGTTAAACACACCCGCACAACAGCATGCACGTAAGTTCGAAGCAGCAGCAGCAGCAGCCACAGAAGCCAAAGTCTAGGAAGCATGCAAGTGGCCACAGCTTATGAATAATTAAAATGTGCCTCATCCATGCAGAGAAATACAATAAAATGGAATGAAGCGCTGATAACCGCTACACCCCTTGGTGAACCCTGAAAACATGACACTGGGTGACAGAAACAGACACAGCTGACTATGCCACGCTAGGTCTAGCATGTGTGACATGTCCGGGAGGGCGAATGTGTGTGGACAGCAGCAGATGGGTGGCTTTGTAGGACTCAGAGAGGGAGGAGGGCAGTGGCTGTTACAGGGACGGGGTCTGAAGCTAGCTTCCGGAAGACACCACGCATGTGAGGACCTTCTGTAGGTAGCTGATGTGGGAAATCTACCTGAAGGATGCTGGTTTTAAAAACCACATGAGACTGGGGAATAGCTCATCAGTAAAATGCTTGCACTGCCTCATGACTGAGTTCAGTCCCCAGGACCCATGTTAAAAGCCAGATGTTACGGCTCACACTTCCAATACCAGGGCCAAGGAGGAGACAGATGGATCCCTGGGACTCCACCCAGCTAGCTTAGTCTACTAGGCAAGTTCCAGAGCAATGAGTGATCCTGTCTCAAAAAATGAGGGACTGAAAAGATGGTTCAGTGGTTAAGAGCACTGGCTGCTCTTCCAAAGGACCTGGGTTCAATTCCCAGCACCCATATGGAGGCTCACAGCTATCTGTAACTCCAGTCTTAGGGGATCTGACGCCCTCTTCTGACCTCCTTGGGCAGTGCACACAGGTGGTGCACAGACACACATGAACGCAAATTCATATACACAAAATAAAAATAAAGGAAAAAGTAAAAACAAACAAACAAAAGACAAGGTGGGTGGCTCCTAAGAAATAACACCTGAGGTGGTCCTCTGGCCACCACACATGCATACACACTCATACACATGCACTCACACACCTGTGCACACACTCACATCTACACACCTGTGCACACACTCACATTTACACACCTGCACTCACACACATACTCACATACACACCCTCACACATGTACATGCACACACAAGCTGACGCACAGGCACAGATACACACCCTCACACATGTCCATGCACACACAAGCTCACGCACAGGCACAGATACACACCCTCACACTGAAAAGCTGTCTTTCTGCCACAGAGTAAGCAGTCATTTCTGACTGTAGTGGAGTGAGGGAGAGGGGGATGGGGTGGCTTTTGATGCTGTGGGCGGTCAGCTGTGCCCCATACATCTTAAGTTCCTGCTGTCACATTCCTCATCGACTGGGAAATGCAGGTGCCCATCGCTCTCTGTTGAGGCTGTCGGCATGCAGGACAAGCTGACCCCAGTGGAGCCCTGGGCCTTCCTGGTCCTTAGAGAGCCACACAGCCTGGCTGGAAATGAACCCCATCTCCTGTAACCTTGAACTCTTAAGGAGTCCTAGGGAGCTCCCCCACTCCATCTCTCTCTAACCCCCTTGCCCCTTAGATGCCCACAACCTGGCTCCTACCATCGATGTAGGTTGGGATCTGCCCAAAGATGGTGAGGTAGGAGTGGTAGACGACCCCACGGAAGATCCAGTCCACCCGGCTCTCGTTGTGGATGAGGATGGCCTGCTTGGCCACTCCGAAGGACACCACCCACACCGCCAGGAGAAAGAGGAAGAAGAAGACGTCCTTCATCTGCAGAGAGTGAAGCAATGGGCTGCCCTTCCCACCCTGGATCTCCTCTTCCTGCTGTCCCCCTGACATGAATGCAGGATGCCAGGAGCAACCAGGGCTTCCCCGCCACCTCACAGAGCACACTGACGTATTCATAAGGAATACCCCCAGATGTGGAATGGGGTTGGACAATGATGACCCAAGAAGAAAGGACTTGCATCTGAGCAGCAATGGGGCCCATGCTGGGGCTGTGGAATGAGAAACAGGCAAGGCCGCCTGGAGGAGGCGGCATCCAGACAGTAGGATGAGGGATATTCAGAGATTCTGAGGATGAGGCAGAGGTAAGACACAGGACAAACGGTCATTTCTAGTACCATCCTACCTCTTTCATTATGGGCACAGCCCTCGGCCTCCCTCACAGCAGCCGTGGGCTCCAGCCCCTCCCAGGGAAGCCCTTTGTGCCCTCACCATGCGCTTCACGATGATTATCTTGGGCCCCAGCGTCTTGCTGATAGTGAAGATGTGCATGAGGCGGAGGCAGAACATGATGAAGTCCAAAGACAGGATGATGCGCCCGGGATACAGCGTCCCTGGGATGAGCCTGGCAGTGGGCAAGGTACCACCTCAGGCTCTGTTCCCTAGAAGGCAGAGCTTTCTGAAACCTCTCCCTGGCCTGGGGTGGTCCTTGGAGGTACAGGGCTCTGGAGGAGCCAGGCCCAAATATGTCAAAGGCAATGGTGACATCAAGGGCAAAAAATTCACAGAGAACTGGGTTGGCTTCAGTAGAGTCCAAAATCCCGGGTGCAAGGATATCCCAGAAACAATTCCAGGAGCCTTGGCCATACCCATCCTACCTCAAGAAGGAAGAGGGCCACCACCTCTCAGATACACGAGCTGTCACGAGTGGGATGTAACCCAGCAGGGAGGGGCAAAGAGGACACTATATGTCTGAGAAGCTGAGGCGAACAATAACAGCTGGTGGCCCATACATGTGACAGCAACCCAAGCTGGGCAAAGAGCAGTCACACACCCCAACACCATTTTCTCCATCAGCGCCAAGGCAGGCTGGGTCCAGGTGCCCCGCAGAAAGAAGGCAGGGGTACCCTGGCCACTCACCGGCAGGTCAGTCCTACTATGAAGAGCAGAATGGCACCAACGTCCAGCTTGTTCCAGAAGTCACTGAAGTACAGGGACGCCATCTTCTTCAGGCCACACCCATCGGGATCGTAGAAGAGCTACTGAGGAGAGACCGCAGTTAGGGGAGGCCAACATCGCCATCAGCGTCACACTGACAAAGCCCTTTGTGGGCAGAGCTTGACTGTGGTGAGGGGGGCCAGCAGGACACAGGGTGGACCTCTGCACTCAACACGTTCAGGAACAGTGTGAGCAGAGGTAAGTGCCTGCCATACCTCACTGCTAGTCAGTCTCTCATGAACCAGGGGTCCTATTGAACCTGTGCGTGTATGTATGTGTCCACGTCCGTGTGTGTGTGTGTGTGTGTGTGTGTGTGTGTGTGTGTGTGTGTGTATGTGTGTGTGTGTGTGTGCTGGAGAAGCCCCTTTCTCCCTGCCAGCACCTCCTACAAGGATTTTTGCTCTGTCTAGAATGACACCTGCTTCCTGAGACAGTCCGGGAAGGAGGGGCCTGGAGGAGAGACCCCCAAGATCCTCACATGGTCTGCCTGGTAGAAATTCTCACCCTTTTCTGGTACCAGGCCCCCAAACTGTCATGGTCAGGCATATCCTTTCCCTAGGCCTGAGGGACAGATTCTAGGAGACACATGTGCTCTCTGTCCTGGGCTGCCAGGTGAGGTGATATCAGGAAACACAGAAACTCTGACCCCCATGGAGGGTCTGGCTACAGAGGCTGAGGAGGCCCCCAAACCTCAGCATTGCTCCAGGGAAATCATGCCCCAGCCCCATGGTTCTTTCTTTGACTCCCCTCTTTCTTCTTTGGGTCTCTCAACAGGCAGGGTGTCCATCTGATGTAAGCTGGTACCACAAGGACGTAGCGGGAAACTAACACAGTGAGGGTTGGTCTGCTCAGTGGTCATACAGGCCCTTGTCCTGGGAGGTGACACCCAGCCTTACAGTGGTGTCCTGTTTATCAGGAGTGTGAGCTAGTCCAGGTGGTCAAATAGGCCACTCAGGACTAGTTCAACCTCTAGAGGGGGACTAGAGACAGATCAGCCAGGAGGATCGAGCCACGTCTGTGTGACTGACCCCTGGTATAAGCCTGGACCCTGCAGCTTGCAGAAGCTGCCTGGGTGACACTGGCCCTGAATGTCATTACACATTCTTTGTCCTAGCAGGGAGAATCAAGTTCTGCCCCTGCCTCAGGGAAGGGACCTCTGGATTCTCTGGGTCAACAGTCTTTGGATGGATGGATGGGTACCTCTGTGTTTGGCAGGTTTTACTCTAAGCCCTTTTCTGGAATGAACCATAACCATGTTCATGGCTCTCCATCAGTCTGAGTCTTCTGCAAATGATCACTCACACAGGGCCCCACACTTGGCAATATCGAGAGACACACCTACTCAAAGGTGGCCACAGAATGGAATTAGCGGGAGACCTCAGGCCACACAGAACCAGCGTGACTTCCGGGGGCATTGGAAACTGACAGTCATGAGTGCTTTGCCTCGGAGAGGTCCAGAAGCCTAGCTTCAGGCAAGGCAGCCAGGCCATGGAGGCAAGGCTCCCAGGTGGAGGAGTGGGCGCCTGCCTCCCGGGGTTCCACCCAGCTCCTAGGGGCCTGGGTGAGGCTCGGTGGAAACAGACACTCGGTGTGGGAGTGGTGAGCACCTGTCGTGTCTCCTCGCACACCAGGGAGAAGAGCCACAGGTAGATGAGGTACTCGCACCAGGATGGTGAGGGCTGGAAGTCCACCATGAGCACGTAGGCGAACAAGCAGAGGAAGGCAAAGTAGGACAGGATATTCAGATGGAAGATGACCACGGGCGCGTTGAAGAAGGCGCGGACGCGGGCTGGGCGGCACAGGGACTGCAGTCTCTTCTCCCTGCAGCAGACACTTCAGGTGACTGTCACAGACTTTGGTCTCCAGGATCCCTACCTACCCTGTGAGAGATGTGACTCAAGGGGCAAACGTACTAGGAAAGGAACACCTCACTTGGTACCCAAGGCCATATAGCAGTTATAGGCAGGCCAGCAAGACGGCCTTGGCACTAAAGACCCCAAACCTTGCACAGGCCCAAAAGGCCGGGAAGCAAGTCTCTGTACATTTTGCTGAGCTGTGAACACCACAGCTCCTATCCAGGGCCGAGGCCTGGCTGTATGCCTAACCTGGGTTAGGTTCCAGTGCCCTTAGCATTAGTTCATAGCCAGAGTTCTCAGGCCTCAGGTGCCCCCACAAGTGGGGACCAACTGCCATTACTGTCATAAAGGTCAGACTAACAGCGTGGCCAAGTCCCCACGTGGACGCGCTCTGACGTGCAGCCTCTTGTCACAGCTGCTACTGGAAACACAGGTGCAGCTCTGTTCCCCTCAGGGAAGGGCAGGGGCACTATAAAGGTCACATGGCAATGTCCTTGACCCCTGGAAGGATGTGAGATTGACGTCTGGTCCTCCTGGGTCTGTGCAAGGTGGGAGTCCAGAAAGCAGGGCGGACTAAAACAGCTTTAGCATCTGATCTGCTCCTCCGTTTCCCCTTGGGCACATCCCTAACAGTCAGGGCATGAGAGGGTGACAGAGCATGTGGCCTACGGCTATGAGAGGGCTTGCCACCGGCCACCTAGCCTGGAGCTTGCCCCTGAGAACCCAGAAGTGCCAGGGAGCCCAAAGATGCCATCTAACAAAAATAGAAATGACATCTTAGCAAGAGCCCTCGTGCTCTGAGGCAACCACAAGTGAAGCACAGCCAGACCTGGTCTTCAATCCTCCACCCAGTCTGCCTGCAGCACCAAGGGTACCCTATCCACCCCATGCTCCCTGTTGCCATGGAGCTGAGGCCAAGAGACAGTCTCATCAGCACCGCCAGCCTCCAGTATCCAGCAGAAAACTCAGGGCGCGGAAGAGTCTGACCTGAGGTGGTACTGAGGCCTGGCGGTGCCCCCTCTACTTCCTGCACGTTCTGGGGGCCCAGACCCCTCCCCCTCACCTGAAGGAGATGAGGCCGGTGAAGAGCAGTGGAAAGGCCAGCATGCACAGGATGACCTGCCACAGGCTGTTGTCCACACAGAGCTGGCCCCACCACACCTTGGTCAGGAAGGCCTGTGGACAGGGCGGTCTCAGGGCAGTGGGCACCCAGCAGTCTGACCCCCACCCAAGCCCCCAGCCACCCAAGGATGAGTGCTAGTCACACCCCCCTAATCACTGTGCTCTTTGAACCCCTAACCACAGGTGGCCAGTGTGACAGGCATACCATGGTCAGCCAGAAGAGCAATCACGGTTTTGGGTGTTTGGAGCCAGGCCATGGTGTATGATAAGTAGTGAATAAGCAGGGCTTATCACATGGGGCTCTGACTTTCCTCTTGCCTGCCATCCCTCCTCCAGCTTCAGGACCCCCAATCTTTGCAACGTCCTGAGGCCATGCAGTCCCAGGCTGTCATAAGCAGACCCTTTTTGCCACCATGGGGCAGGGCTTGATTCCTCCCTGGGTATCCCCAGGCTCTGCGCGTCCCAGGACACATGGAGTTCCATGGGCGTGGTAACAGCATGAGGCTGTGCTCCAAGGATACCCAAGTAATAAAGGAGTATGTTCCTTAGTCCCTAATGTTCCATGAAGGCCACACTGTCCCCCCTGTACTTCCTGAGCCCCCAGATGACACAGGCTCTTGGAAAGTACACTGAGGGCCACCTGACATTTGAGCATCGGCCTCCATGCCTACCAGCCACTTCCTTTGCTGTGTACCAGTTTCCCCATCCCCAAACCAGGAGGCAAGTGCCTGTCCATCAGCATATGTCTAGGTACTAGGCACTATCCCAGTCATCAAAGAGCCACGCTGCCAGCAACAGCCATGTCATCAGAGGCAGGGCTGTGCCCCCCCTCCCAGGCACCTGATTCTGAAAGTGGACCCTCGGGGAGTCACCTGGATGCCTCCATGAGACACGAATTTCATGTCCTTGGCCTCTAGGGCCAGCTGCAGGCAGGTGGCCTTCCCCCAGGCCTCTGACACACGGACAAGAAGCTTCTGGGCTCTCTCCTCATCCTTCCGGTAGCACTCGGTGAAGACACCTGAGCAGGGGAAGAAGAAGGTCCGCTTCAGCAAAGGCAGGATGTAGGGACTGTCCTGAGACATCTAGGTCATGGACAAGGACTCTAGGTAACAGCATCGGAGCTGACGTACAGAGAGGGAGACCCTGGTGACAGTGCAGGCGGCCCCAGGGGGCTTACCTATAGCTCTGTGCTCAAACTCATCCGCCAGCGCCAGCATCTCCTCCGAGCTGTCTGTGTCCTCCTCCTCCTTGGACAGCTCCTTCAGGATCTTGCTGCAGGCCAGTGCTGCAGCAATACAGTCCTGACTCTGGGACACAGGGGCACTGTGAGGACCTGGGGGACCACTAGATTTACCCACCCTGTACCTAGAACCTATGATAGTGAACAGAAATGCTTAAGATGTGAAGTTTTGGGGGCCCTGTCCATATAAACAACCTACTCATCCATATTAACACATAAGCCCTCCGATGGTGGCCTCCTGTACTGACCCATGGGTACTGTGTGCTTATCTCCCTAACAGGTATAATGAACAGATAGGAGCTGGCAAGATCTGGGCAGATCACAGAGAACAACACTGTCCACATCCTCAGGCCCGGAAGTAGCCACAACAGCTTGCTTAGAGGGCCTTTATGTTTCCTTCCTTTTCTTTCTTACTTTTTTTAAAATGTCAGTTATTATTTATATTTTTTAAGATCTATTTACTTATTATGAATAGTGTTCTGCCTGCATGTATGCCTGCACACCAGAAGAGCACCAGATCTCATTACAGATGGTTGTGAGCCACCCTGTGGTTGCTGGGAATTGAACCCAGGTCCTCTAGAAGAGCAGCCAGTGCTCTTAACCTCTGAGCCATTTCTTCAGCCCTTCCTTTTTTCTTTTAAGAATTATTTTCCCACCAAAGTTTTTATTCCCCACCACTGGGTACACCAAGCCTTCCTATGTTAGAGATCTTACTACCCCACACAACCATAAACTGTTATTTGTTGCAAGAAGTGAGCCCCTGACTCAGATCACCAGTCTAGACATCCTCATGTCTGCAACTAAGCTGGTCCTGGTACCTGAGCCCAGATGATGCCTGCCAGCTCCTGGCGGTTCTGGATGATGGCCCAAATGAGAAGGTCGCGGACTGGGTCAATGGTGAAGGTAACATGGTCTGTTGATCGCTTATAGAGGGACCGGAGGCTCACTCCCTGTACCTGTAGGCGGAGGACAGTCCATGTCCCACAGAGTCCCCAGCATCAGAACCCTAAGGTAGTGAGCAGTGTGTGTCCTGCCTTGTGCGGTCACGGAGAGATGGCACATTTCACTCTTGGGAACTTAATTAAATGATTCATTGGATGCTGAGGAGATGGCTCAGCAGGAAAGGGCTTGCCACACAAGCCTGAAGACCTAAGTTCGGATCCCCACCACCCACATTAAAGGAAAAAAGATGTACCCTGGAACTGAGTCAAAATAAAGCCTTCCTCCCAAAAGATACTTTCTGGCAGGTATTCGGTCTCAGTGAGGAGAAAAGTAACTACTACAGACGTTTCTGGAGGTAAGTGAGCCAAAATGAGGTTATTGGGGGTGGGAGAGCTTCTCTTTTCCCACCCTTCTTCTCATGTAAAGACTCAGCAAGAGCCCCCACCTGCAGGACAGGGAGAGGGCCTCAGCAGCAACCAGCCCTGTCACTGTCCTCAGACTTCAGTCTCCAGGACTGTGAAACAATGAGTCGCTATTATCTAAGCCCTGGATCTGCAGGGTTTCACACAGCCCATGCCTTCTAGGACAGAGTGTGGAGCCCATTGCTTTGGGGTTATTTATTTGTTTGGTCAATTGGTTTTGGTTTTTTCTCTCTCTTTCTTCTCTCTCTCTCTCTCTCTCTCTCTCTCTCTCTCTCTCTCTCTCTCTCTCCCTTTCTTGGTGACTATCTCACTATGTAGCCCAGGCTGGCCTTGTACTCTTCATCGTCTACCTCAACCTCCTGAGAGCTAAAATTATAGGCACACACACACACACACACACACACACACACACACACACACACACATATTTAGCAATTCCTTTTCTAATGAATGTAAGAGCTCATAACACAGCTGAGAACACAGCGGTCACCCACCAAGGAGCCAGGCATTGCACACCTCCAGCATGACACTATACCTGGACACCAGCAACCACATGGCTAGCACCCATGTTACCAATACTCACATTGAGCTTGATGTGCGGCATGGGCAGTGAGAGCCGTGGCCGGTCACTATACCGGGGCCGGGGGTACAGCAGCTGTGTGGAGTCCCCCAGGAGCTCACGCAGCACCTGGGCCACATGGTGCATGTGCAGCCGGGGTGCAGCAGACGCACAGGCCAGGCGCTCATGCTCTTCGGCCAGCACCTTCTGCAGCTTGCTGTGGAAGAGGCAGGATGGCTCCAGGTTCTCGTACAGGCAGAGTAGAGTGTCCCAAGTGACAAACTCCTTCAGCCGCACCCCATTCTCCAGAAAGAGCCTCACAAACTCAGGTTTGTTGGAGATGAGGGCAGCTGTCATCATGGGGTGCAGATCTGAAGGCTGAGAGGGAGCAATGGTCAGTGACCATCACATTAAATCAGCATCTCCTAGAACTCTTGAGCTCAGAACCCTAGAAGGAGCTGTTGGGATATCTCTCCTGAAGGATGGAATCCACCCTGGTCATCTATTCCCAAGGCGGGGCTGGAGCCTTGCGCACACATGCGCGCGCACACACACACACACACACACACACACACACACACACACACACACTTACACAGACCCCTTACCTTCCACTGCCATTCATCAGTGAAGATCTCACTTCGAGCAATGTCCACACGGTTCCATGCTACGGCCAGCTTCAGCTGATGGTCCCAGTTCTCATGACCAAAGTGGTCTTGGCTTCGAGAGGCTGTGGGTGACAGTGTGTGTCAGGTGCCTCAACGTGAGGCTTGGTGTGGGGCCCAGGAGTTGGTTGGGGAATTCTAGTTACTTAATGATTTAAAGTGGTAACTCAGAGCTTAGTGCTGACACCCTCCGTGAGACACCCGCTTTATAAAGCACTTTTCATTCGTTGTTAGACTCAGAAAATCTCAGGGTTTTGGTCATCTCTTTAGTTTACCCCATTTCCCCATCCTGGGCCATCTCCCAGCCATGCCCCTCTGTGACAGGTGGGCCACAGTATAAGGGAAAAAAATCACAGTAAAAGAAGATAAAGGGTTCTAAAAAGCATTCATTTATATTAACATGCAAAGCAGAATTCCAAAAGACCACACACACACACACACACACACACACACACACACACACACCACCTTTTTCTCTATTCTAACTCTTCATCTGCAGCAGCCATACCACCCAGATTCCCAGGAATGCATATCAGCCAAACATTCTTAAACTCACCCTCTGCTTTAACTGTGTGTGTGTGTATGTGCACACGTGTGCGTGTGCGTGTGCATGTGACACATGTGTTGGAGATCAGAACCCGGGTCCCAACGACTGCACGTGGCTTCTACTCAGAGAAGAACAAAATCAAAACCACTTTGGTCTCTCCCTCACACCACACAGTGGGGTCCTGCTGAAGAGGTGGGCTGGGTGTGTAAAGTGACGTCAGTGACTATTTGCAACCTTGGGACAGGCAGAGTTCTGAGCCAGGACACGGAAAACACAAACCACAAAGGGCAATCCCTCTGCTCTTCAAAGCCACCTTAACAAAATGTTGCCGCAACCCACAAACCAAGGGCAGACTTGCCTCTTTATATGTCTGACAGAGAACAGCAGAATGAACGAGGAACACTTACAGCCCAGAAACAGCAAGACAAATAGCCAGATAAGAGTGGTTAAAAGACACTTCACCAAGGAGCAGAGAAAATGACAACAGAGGCCATGAAACATGCCCCATGCCACAGGCAATACATCAGGAAAAGTACACTGAAACCACATGGAGACGCTACATCATGAACAGGCTGGCCCCCAGCCCCCGTTATGTAGCAGTTTCCTTCAGCTGAAACCTTTCTTCCTGAAGGGAAACTCCATAAGACTCAGGAAGTCCCTGAAACTCACCAGATTCACAAGGCCCAATACTCCCCAGGGTTATATAAACAGGAGTACTGAGACAAGGATGCCCTCCCACCCATGCAGCTGCCTACAAGTGGTACAGGAAGCTCCAGGGAGGCAGCTTTCCTGAGTCCTCATCCATGCCAGAGTGAGCTTTCAGTGACGATGGCCCTGCCTTTGTGTCATCCATGCTCCTGTAAGTAACTTCTCACCCACACTCCTCTAAGTAACATCAATAAACTCACTGGTTCGCCAAGTTGGAGTCTGGTGGCAGTGCTGCTTTGATCTGTCATCGGTTCCCTATCCGAGGTGAGCAGATGTTTGTAGGAATAGTGTCACACAAACCCCCTTCCCGGAGCCTTCCCTGGCCCCTCCTCAGCCCCATCTCTAGCCCCGGCACCCATGGCTCCACCTCTTTTTCTACACTTATCTACTGTAAATCCCTCTTGTAAGTGGAGATTGCTGCAGTGATGTTTTGCAAGCTATATTGAAGGCTCTCCAAGTTAATCCTGAACGTATGAGACAGACCAGCCTGGCCTTGAACTTGGCAGTGAATCTCTTGCCTCAGGCTCTGAAGTTCTGGGATTACACTCATAAGCCAGGAAAGCTGGCTTAGAATACTAGCTTTCAGACTAGTAATTGTTACTGTCTTAACCTCTTACGTAATGAAGAAACAAACACTGCAGTTATAAACCACTGTTACAATGATACAAGTGTTCACAACTGCATTTGCCTGTTTGAGATTTTTATTCCTTCATACAGCACTGAGTCACTAGCTAGTGTTTTTTCAATTCACCCTGCTGGCTCCCTTGAGCATTTCTTATAACTTGGGTCTAGTGGTTGCAAATTCCCTACGCTTTTATTTATCTGAGACTACCTTAATTTCTCCCCCACTTTGCAGCCCTCTGCCTTCTAATCTCTAATTAGAAATCTACACGTTATCTTACTGAGACTCCCCTGTATGGGATAAGCCACCTCTCCTTGCTGTTCTCAAGATTCATGGTCTTCGAAAAGCTTGACTGTAATGGGATTGGTATAGGTTCCTCAGGGTTCACCTTACTGGGAATTGGCTGTTTCTTAGATGACAGGGATGTACAGAGGCATGGCCCGACACAGCTACCCTCTGGCCAGCATCTGACTCAGATGCTGTCGTTCATCACGAGCACACATGTCCTGGTTTCTCCCTTCTTTTTCCCCTGCTCATAGCCTCACCTTTCAGTAAAGCCTGCAGAATGGCCACATCCACATCCTGCTGCCCATCCTTCCCTTCCCGGAAGATCGTCAGCAGCTGCCGCCTCCGGACGATGTCTTGGATCTGCAGCAGTGAGATGGTTGTCAGTGAGATTTCTGCCTCCTTGAAGGACCAAAGGGATTGGGGTCCCAACAAGGAACCACCCAGTCTGTGCAGGCTCAGCTGGAAAGGGCATTTGCAACCAAGCCTGATGACTTGACTTCAATCTCCTAGGACCCATATGGTAGAAAGAACTGACACCCACAAAATGTCCTCTGACCTCCGTGATGTGTGCATTGTGGCACCAGCATGTGAGCATGAGTACACACACACACACACACACACACACACACATAAAATAAATGTAACAAAAATACTTTTGGCAAAGAGAGATTAAATTCAGTTCTCTGAATTGCCTGAATAATTTATAATGTTGCTGAGAAAAGACTCCCAGTCTGCCCAACAGCTTACAGCACACCGGATAAGAAATCAAAGGCCTTTGGGAGGGAGGAAGGGGAGGGGGAGGGGATGAGGAGCTCACCACAACTTATGTTGTTTCCCTGCCAGATAATCTCACAGAGCATCCACACTAAACAAGGGCACTCTGAGTCCCTGGCAAATTTAAAATGAGGTCTCCATGCTTCCCTGAGCTACTCAGTCAGAGAACTCCTTATTCTCCATGGTCCAGTCACAGTTCAAGCCCCTCCATGTGTCATAGTCCAGTGTGGCTAGCTCCAGTGTGTTCCTTTGGCCTGTGGCTGGTGGGACCTAAATTCAGCTCAGCCAAAGCTAGCACTGCTCACACTCACTTCAGGACGCTCACACCCTGTGTGAAACTCTGAGGGTGAGCTCTGAGCTCCGGGACCAAGGTGCAGACACTCACCACACACTTTGCAGAGCTCGTCAAGGCACCACCCCAAAACCCAGCTGCAAGACTGGGGAGCTGGGCCCTTCTGAGGCTGCTCCATTAGGGTTCTTATGAGGAGACAAGGCTGGATCACATACTGCCATTCACTGCTGTAGCCAGTAAGCTCTGCTGCCAGCATCCCCGCCAACGCCCCTCCTGTGCTCTGCAGTGCTTCCTGACCCCTCCCCAAGCACCACACCCCTCCAGTCCAACATGCTCTGGGTCCCAGAACAACACTCTCAAGCTCTGAGATGTCCCAGCCCTGCTCTGGCATTCTGTAAATCGAGTTCAAACCTCAGCTCTCCTTTAGCATTCTGTCTGTCATATGCTTCAACCTCCCAGTGCCCAACTAGGAGGCCCTGCCTGTCCTGGGACCCAGAGCTCCCCACCATCTGAAAATTCAATTGTGCACCCACTCTGACCCATTTCGGGTCCCCGGAGTCCTGGTCTGTCTGGGAGTCGGCCTGGTGACCGTAAATCAATGTGTCTCACCTTTTTGGTCCATTCCACGATCCTGTTTTCGGTGAAAGTCTCAAACATCTCCTGGAAGAAGATACTGAGCTTCTGCTGTATCAGGGAGATGGTGATCTCAGAGACAGGCAGAGTGGCCACCTGGGCGATGACGTCAGCCACTCGGCCGGAGCCCTCCACTATCACACAGGGTGTGCCGTTGGTGATGGCATTGTAGATGGTCTGCAAAACCAGATCCAAGTGTGAGCAGGCCAGAGTCCTCACCCAGCTCTGACACTTTAGAAATACAGCGTCATTCAGTGGCAGCTAAGGCTGCAAGTCACTTGTTGCTAGAGTGAGCCCATGAAGCTGGAACTTTCCAGAAGGCCTCACTGGTTTGGTGCACCCCACCAGACAAAAGAGCTGTTACTGACACACAAGGAGTGTGCCACTGATACACCTGACTCAGGCTTGTCACTCAACACCCAATACCACTGTAACAAAAGGGTTCATGGCACAGTCATTGACCAGACCCACTCACAGGGATGCTGTGTGGATCCAGAATGACCAAAGCTTAGGGGATACCAGGACCATGAGGAAAACCCCAGACTTTAGCTCCAACAGCTGGACTGGAGCTGGGGCCTGTGCTCTGAGAGCAGTACCTGGGACACTGGCTGAAGGCCTTCTAGAGAGGCTCTGGGAAGAGAGAGCCAGCAACCCCACCATGACCTGGGCCAAAGCCAAGCCACCTCTCCCACATGAGGGTCCACCCATTAGGTGTCTCCTCTCTCACCTGGAAACACCCCTGTCCTGTGGTGGATTCCCTCCCCTCCATATCCTGAGGACAGCATGCCATGTGTGTTCCCAGTGATGGCACCAGATTTTAGTAAAAGTATCCACCAGCCCTTCCTCCCCAGCAGGGCCTGCATCCCATGATGGACAGCAGCTAGTACTCACGTGCAGAGTGCCAGGGCCGCCCTCCAACACCACGCAAACAATGGGGATCTTGATGGCCACACCTAGGCAGACATGGAGCCCATGTGAAGCCGTAGTGGGGGAAGCACAGACCTACTATTTTAGGCTGCTTCCTCCACCCAGCCAACTTCACCCTAGTTACGTGGAGAAGCACCAGCCAGGCCGAGTGGTAGATAATGGGCAGCTGCTAAAGGTGAATGATAATGGCTTATGGGCAAGTTGTTCATGCACCATAAAAGAGCAAACCCAAGACCACCTGGCCACCTATCCTTGCTATTTGCTCTACCCCTATCCTTGACCATTCTCCCTGCCCCTGCCTCTCCCCCTGACCACTCACCCTATCCCTGCACCTACCCCGATCTATCCCTGCACCTACCACATCCCTACTCTTGGACCCAGCTACGCACCCCATCCTGCCGCCTGTATCCCACCCCATCCTGATTGAGCTCCTGTACAGAAGGGACAAGAACAGAACCCCATCTTCTCCACCCAGTGGACCACTCTAGCCAGCCCTTCTCTGCTGTCCTTTGTATGTTACCTCAAAATCCAAGCTGGCCCAAGGAACCTCTAGGAGGGGACTGAACCGTCCGGCACGGGCTGGGGTAGGGCACAGATCATGAGCCTTCTTCCCTTCTACCCAACCCCACTCAGAAGGCAGGAGAAACAGAGGTAATATGAGGAGTCCCTTGCCCTGGGCAGCAAAGCCCACCCAGTGCCAACAAGGGTCCCTGCCTTCATACACCTCACCCTGGGTTCTCCTAGTGAAAACAGTGCTCTCCCAGTGTGGTGCCTGAACAGGCAATAGATTCCCCCCTGGGAACTTAATGGGCATGCCAGCTCTGCACCATCCAGATCGGAGGGAGGTGATTTTAGGGTGGGGGTGATCAGCCCCACTAAGGACCCTGATTCAGGAAGCACAGAGAAGCTTGAAATGTGCTTACCCAGAGTCATCCCAAGCAACCCAGGTGCTGAGCTGGAGTCCTCTCCTGCACTCCCTGTGCCCTCTCCTCACCTCACACACTAGGTGCTCCACCTCCCCACAAGCAGCTGAGGTCAAGCTGTGAGTTCTGGCTGGCACCTCTTCTCATTTCCCAGCCTGAAACTGTCTCTAGTTGAAAATGCAGACTGTTCTATTCACTGACAGAAAACAGACAAGCCTTCACTGACACCCTTCCACGGATTAAGGCAGCAAGAGAAGACAGGTCCCCATGAGGAAGCAGACAGGGACCCAGGAAATGAATACTGGTGTGTTGCAATCTCACCTCCACGTACAATACAGGCCATGGCCAGCTGTGACTCTGACACAGGGCCAGCCTCAGTTTCTTCTGCCCCAAACCCCCTCAGAAGCATGCGCATTTACCTCCTCTTTCCTTTGTTTGCTCTGATATGAACTTCTCCAGCTTCGTCCTCAGGGGAATCTCCACACCATATTGCCCATGAGTCCCATCATCTACCAGGATGAAGTGGGAGTGATTGCTGTCTAGGCAGGTCAGATTCCCTTGGCCTTCCTCATCCAGCATGTACTCAGCGGGGAAGCCTCCCTGCAGATGACCAGGGGAGACTCACACAGGTTGGTAAAAAAAAAAGTCATACCTGTATTCTGGAAATGGGAGGGTCTAATAGCTTGGATAATGTCCCCCCAAGTCCTAAGACCAAAAATCTGCTGGTGGCCCCTTATTTGGAGAAAGAGCCTTTGCAGCTCCGATGTTAAGGATCTAAACAAGAGAAAATTAACCTGAATGATCTGAATGGAGCCCCCAGGAACTCCCAGAAGCACCAGAAGTTAAAAGAGCAGGAAAGGTCCTCATCAGAGCCCCAGAATAGTGTATAACCTCATTTTCATTGTGGCCGAGTGATATGGCATCTGTGCTGTGGGAGAGTGACTTCTAACTGTAGACGGATAAATTAGTTGCTTTCTGCCACCAGTTTGTCATGTTTTACAGCACCCCAGAGAAACTAACCTTCTGGACCACACACCTTCTCTACTGTCCACAGAGAATGAAACGGTGTAACAACAGCTCTCAGCTCGGAATTCCCCTGGCCTCCCTTAGCCTCAGTCTTACACCATAAAAAGGATGTGCAAAACAGGACAGTTGGTCCATCCTGCCCGGGGAGACACTCTATGATTCAGACACAAAAGAAAGACCAAGACTTCCTTAGAGCAATGCTGTCTGACAAAGGACCACTGAGACAGGGAGACTGCACACTGGGCCAGGCATACTCTTGTCAGCAGTGACAAGAAATGTTCTCTAGTCACAGACTATATGGTCCCCAGATTTCCCTGACTGTGAATGAAATGTCCATGTCCTCATTAGGACAGATCCAATGTGTCCTTAGAAAATCCCACTTAGTGAACCAAGTTATCTAACTCAAGTCTCCATTCTTAAGCAGCGGCTGAGTCAAGCTATGGGTATAGCATTAAAGTGCAGCCCAACTTGCTGCTGACTGCCAGAAACCATGGCTCTGTGGAATTCCAGGCTGGAGGCCTCTGAGCATAGAGGTTCAAAGCTAAAAGCTCAGGCTTTGTGGTCAGATAGCTGGCTCAGTCTAACCCCAGTGCTTGCTTGGCTGTGTGGTCCTGGTTGGTCACTCCCTTTCCTTGAAGTCCATTTCTCATCAAAGCAACTCTTGGGATGTACCTCCACCTGGTAATAATCAGCATGTGGATCCCTCCTGTGATCTTAAGTCTATCCTTGTTAGCTGCCCACCCTGCTCACTGTGTCCGAGGTATTACATTACCTAAGTCAGACCTGGGCCCTGCAGCATCACCTTCCTCCCCCAACACTCATGGTGACACCCAGCATGCTCCCTACAGTCTTTGTGAAGAGTCAGACTCCTCACCCTCTGCTCCCAGCCTTCCTCCTCTGACCCAGGCTCATTCTGGAGTGGCTACTCACCGTGGGATGGATCAGCCCCTCTCGGTTGTGGATGGTGCCCCACGTGGCTACACCGATGGTGATGACTTCTCCTTCTTTGCAACTGCTGCTCAGGCTGAAGTCCCGTACCGCCTCACCCACCTGCTTCATCACACCCGTGTGGGACCCCCCAGTGATGATCCAGGCCCCTGGGGAAAGAGACAGGCCATGCCTCTAGGCTCCAGTGTGCATCTTGTCAAGCCAATAGTGACACCCAGAGTCCCACTGTGCTCCTGACATGGGACCTCATCATCAGACTCTCAAGTACATTGGCAGATATACCTCTAAAGCAGAATCAAGGAAGAGACACTGTATTGTGACAGCATCTTCTTGATGCCTTTCTGGGACTTGAGCTCCCCATGTTGCAAAAATGGCAATGGAAAAGACCCCATCTTCTCTTTGCAGGCCTCTCCTGGCCCTCTGCCTTCTCCCTGTCCCAGGCTGAGGAGCACAAAGGGTCTGTCTGAATCTCCTATTTCAGAACCTGCAGCTTTCCACTTTCCTGTCAGTGTTTGAGACCCAAGAGTCAGAGATGATGTCCATGTTCCCCATCCCTTGGCCCTACTCCTAACCGATGACCATACATCTACAGCCACATGGCTTACTACAGTCCCCGGTAACCCCTACAGGGGACACTCTTTCTGTCTACCCCACCCTCAGGACCGCACTGCACGCTGACCAGTGGAAGAAGGCCAGGGCTGAGTGTGACCTAGTTCTGCCTATAGAGCAGCAAGTGACAAGTGGGTTCTGCTGGTCCTGCCTGACCTCTAAAGAGAGGGCATGTGGGCAGAGCTCTCTACATTCCTGCTACATGAGCCAAGACCCATCTGCTGTTGTTTGGGCGGTGAGTTCACTGCACAGTGCTGGCCAGACCTCTGAAATCAGCGCCTCAAAGGCACATGTGATATGGACGTTAAAATAAAATAAAACCTAGGGTCTGGAGGGAGAGCTCAGTAATAGTTAAGAGTACTGGCTGCTCTTCCAGACAATCTAAGTTCTGTTTCTAGCATCCATGTTGGAAGGCTCACAACCACCTATAACTCCAGCTCCAGGGGATCCAATGTCATCTTCTGTCTTCCACAGGCATCTGAGCACATGTGGCATACACACACATACAGAGAGAGAGAGAGAGAGAGAGAGAGAGAGAGAGAGAGAGAGAGGGAGGGAGGGAGGGAGGGAGGTACACAGGCACTAAGTAAAAATAAATCTTTTAAAAATAAATCTAGCACATTAGCACATGGCAGTGGTATGTGACTATAAACATCATGGAAATAAATAGTGTGAGCTGAGAGGCAACTAGGCGTCAAGGGAAGTGCTGTCTATAGACCCAAGGAATCTGGCCCAGGCCAGGGTGTGAACTCAGCTATCCCCAAGAGTTTTCCAGTACAGATGATGCTGATCCCCAAAGATCCCCTTCATCCTTCTTGTACTCACGGCCCGGGCAGGGCCTCAGCACTCACCTGTAGTTTGGGCCACCTTGACCAGGCCTCTCCGGAAGATGCTCTTCAGCCTCAGCTTCATGTTAAAGTTCTTGGCCCCGCCGGTCACTGAGATGAGGAGGTTGGGGACATCCAGGCCCCAGTGCTGGGTCATGAGTTGGTAGATGACACTGGAGGGCGTGTCCTGGGAGACCCGGACATACTGCAGGGGAATCATGGGCTGGTGAGGGGACCTTGCAGGAGACACAGCGGTGAGGAAACCTCACCAGGTACAAGGACACCCTGCAGGGGACAGTGGGGGCATCTTGCAGGGCAAGGGAACTGAGCAGGGGACAGAAAGAGAACCCTGCAGGAGACAGTGAAGGAACCCTGAGAGAATGGCTTCACCCTTCACATTCTACACAGAGTGGGCTCACCTGTGCCCTGCCTGCTCGGCCTGGGGCTGGACACCTTGAGTTCACACCCAGGAGGAAAAGTAGCCAGCAAAACATAGTTAAGTCATGGGTTATAAGAAGAAAGAGGAGGTGAGGCCCAGAAGAGAGGCCCAAGCACAGGGGCTCCCTAGGTAAAGCCAGACTATTCTTTACAAAGCCCCTAGGCCCAGCTTCCTCTCCCATACTTCCTCTTTCCTCATCCCCTCTGCTTAGGGGGCACCTCAGACCGCCCTCCACAAACACCCTCCTTATGCCACCCCCTGCACTGGCTCCTCCGTGTGGTTTGACCTCCATCCCATCTGCTTCCTGGTCTCCTCACACTCCCACCCCTGATCTGTCACTGGGTTTACTGGGCTTGGCCCTGCTCTGTGTACACATGGTCTGCCTCTGAGAAGGGTGAGGGCAGGGGAGGGGAGGGGGCAGCCCCTTGGCTTCACACTCCAGAATACCTTAAGCTCATGGTGGGCGTTGTGTGTGTGTGTGTGTGTGTGTGTGTGTGTGTGTGTGTGTGTGTGTGTGTGTGAGTGTATGCGTGTGTGTGTGTGTGTGTGTGTGTGTGTGTGTGTGTGTGTGCACGTGCACACACCTGGGATGGAATCCAGAGACCCATGTATGCCAGGCAAGCACTGCAGCCCACATCCCATGGTGGACTTTTCCACTCTGGTTAAATCAACTGTCTAAGGAGCTCCAGCTTGACTAGAATTCACCCAAGAGACCCTAATGGGCAGGATGACGGACATCACAAAATCCAAAGGGACATCAGGAGTCTCCAGAGCAAGCAGGACACAGCATAACAACGAAGAACGCTAATTGATACCACAGTGCCTGTCAGCCCTCACAGCAGCTGTTCTCACAGGGAGGAGCAGGGGTCCAGGACCACCCTCTCATGGACCTGCTCTTGGACTGTAAACCACATGGCGTCCAGAAGGAAAGGGGCTATGGGCTCACATTGCGGGTGCTCTAGTTTAAACATGAAATGCTCCCCATGAAAGGCTCATGTGTTTGAACATCTGATCTCCAGTTGGAGGTGCTGAGACGCTATGGGACCTTTAGGAGGAAGCGTCTCTCTGGAGGAAGTGTTTGCTGGTCGCTGGGGAGCAGGACTTAGTGGTGGTAGCCCGACTTCCCTTGTTATCTCTCATCTGTCGCTCTCTCTCTATCTCATCTATCTCTTGACCCACCAGGCTGCAGCCAGCAGCCTCAGCCCCTCCCCCGCCCCACAGCTTCAAGCACCTGGAACTCCATCGAGTCTTCTCAACCACAATGGACTGTATCTCTTCAAACCGGAAGCCAGAATAAATCCTTTACTCTAGAAACAGCCTTTTGTCACGGGGCAAGAAAGTACCATGATGGGGACACACACTCTCAGAAGGGGATTCACTGAGGTCAGGACACACCTTATGGTTCTCAATGAATGTGTCCCACTCACTGGTACAACAGGAGTACTATCCCCTACCACTAACTGTCCCTGGCTTGGGACTGTCCCTGTCACTGCCCTTGGAGAAGCAGCTGGAGCCAGGAGGTTGTCAGGTTAAGAACCGGGACTGGGGATCAGCCGGTTTCACACCCACCATGGCTCTGCCTATCATAGCTTTGAGCAAGAGGTGAGACCTCCCCATGCCTCTCTTCCTGACCTGAGGCCAGGTGACGGGACCTCCTCCTTCACCTGTGTCTGCATCCCCAGCCCAGGGTACAGCCACCTGCAATGGCTCCTGCCTCTGCTTCCCACACGGGGGTTTCTCCCTCTCCCCTCCCTTCCGGAGACCTCACCACCACTCAGAAGCCAATCACATCTGTGCTAGGTCCTGAGTTCTCCTCCTCATTCCTCTAGACCCAGACAGACAGTAGACCCTTCAGAATGAGCGCATACCTCCCACGGGAAGCCCTGCACGCCTCCCTCTGCTCACAAGCCTCTCGTTTGCCTGAAGAGTGCACACCACCCCCATGCCATTCCTCAGTGTATAGTGGGTTCCAGGCAGCTAGATGCCTACTCTCATTCTCCCCCCCCCCAACCCCCCCTCCAGGAAATCTGCTACAGTGTCATAGGGGCCAACATAGCGAAGAGTGAGCGTAATGGAACCCACCTTCCCTGCTTTCTGGCTCAGGCCTGTGAAAACGATGTCGCCAAAGGCATCTGTAGGCATCTCATGGACATGCTTCTTTGGGTCCCACTCCTTGCCCTGAAAAGTGTGAGGCTTGATGGCCACCTCCAAGTGCTGCTCATGGGTGTAACCACATTCACACACTACTTTCCTGTGAAGATACCAAGGTTATCATGGGAATGAAATGCCTCTGATGCTCTCTCTCTACCGGGACATCAGGGGGACCAGAGGAGAGCCAGGACATTCATCCCACTCAGCAGGTGACAAGACACCTGCCTGAGTGTCAAGGGGACCCTGTGGGCAGTGAGCATGAGGCATCCTTGCCCTCCCAGCCAGGCAGCATCAGTCAGGAACTAAACAGAGATAGCCAGTGAGCTTGGACTTTGAACTTTTCCCCTGTGGCAATAGTGAGATTCTGCCTCTCCCTCCCTCAGAGCCAGGACCCATCTGAAACTCAAAAGCCAGAAAAATCATGAGTCTTGTCCTCAGCAGCTAGGACAGACACCCACACCAGGATGGTACAGGTGTGGGGACCATCCGGCGAGGAATTTACACCAACCAGGTTAAAAATTCTTCTACAAGTGACTAGAAACACCCTGAATCCAAACTGCAGCTTCTAGAAAGACAGAGTACGGCAACTGGAAATCTCAGCAAAAGGTAAGGACTGAGGGAGAGAAAATAAACCAAAATAGAAATGCATAGACACAGAGCCACGGGAGACCAGCAGGATCATCCGAGTCCCAGAAAAAAGAGAAAAGCCGAGCCAGCAAAGCCGTGTAAAGAAATAATGTCCTATTTCCTGTTGACCCACCCCTGGCCAGCCAGCCAGGCTATGTCTCTGTGGATCAAAATGCCAAAGACCTGCGTGGAGTGACCATAGGACTCAAAGCATTTGAGCGCCAAAGTGGTATGAAGAAAGTGCTTCTCATTTTTATTACTAAAGCAAGTAAAACATGAGGTGATGTTTACAATCAGCTTAAGTAAATACAAGTACAGCGAGTTTATACGCCTAGTGCTATGTCTTTTCATCTTTGGTTCTATGAAAAGAACCAAGAATATTCCTTCCAAGGCCTTTGCCTTCCCCACAGAGATAATGTGGACACGCCATGGGGATTTCCTTCGTGTCTTTGTTTTGAAGTGCATTCACTTATCATGGTTCATGCAATCCTTTCTAGAAGGCCACCTGGTGGGAAGAACACTCTGCACGTTGCCCCATCCATAGTCCAGAGTAAGTTCACAGTTTCCTTACACAGGCTCTCCCAACTTCCCACGTTTGCTTTAAAAATAAAAACACATAAATAACTAAACCTACAGATCCGAGACTCTGAGTGACGAACAGCGCAAACCCAGAGAGACACGTGCTAAGAGATGACATCATCAAACTTCCAAAACCAAAGAAGAAAAAAAGCCGGAGAGCAGTGAGGCCAAAATGGCACCCGCTGATTTCTCTCCCCTACAAGGCTCTTGTTTTTGTTGTTTTGCTAATCTGTATGAGTGCTTTGCCTGCATGTGTGCCTGGTGCCCAACTAGGCTAGAAGATGACATTAGATTCCCTGGATCTGGAGATAGAGACAGAGATGAGCCACTATGGGGGTCCTGGGAATTGAACCCTGGTACTTTGAAAGAGCAGCCAGTGCTCTTCATCACTGAGCCATCTACCAGCCTCACAGAGATCCGCCTGCCTCTGCCTCCCGAGTGCTGGGATTAAAGGTGTGTGTCACCACCGCCCAGCTTAAAAACAACACACTTCTTATCAGACACCATGGAAGCCACATAAAGAGGTGCAGGGCTGAAAGATTAAAAACTACAACCCAGACTTTTACAGCCAGTACATCTATCCTTTGAAAATGAGGTCAAGGGATGCTGTTAGCTGAACTACCATTAAGGAGACTTGTCAACAGCAGATCAAGTTCGGAGAATGGCTAAAGGGGGTGGGGGTGGGGCTCAGGTGGCGGGGTATTCCCTAGCATACTCAGAGGCCTGGGTTCGATCCCCAGCACTGCATGAACCACCCCTGGGACCCAAGTATTCAGGAGGTGGAGCTAGAGGCAAGAAGACCTTAAATTCAAGGTCCCCTCCAGCTACATAGGGAGTTCAAGGCCAACGTGAGCTTCATGAGACCCTGTTTTTTTAAAAAAAATGACAAAGGAAATTATCTAACCAGAAGTGGAAGGATAAAGGAAGGCATTCTGAATATCAGAGAGGAAGATGAAGCAATAGAAAGTAAAAACGTGAGTAAATATATTTCATTTCTCTTAAGTTTTTTTTTTGTTTGTTTGTTTGCTTGCCTGCTTATGTTTGGTTTTGTTTGTTGGTTGTTTTTTTTTGTTTTTTTTTTGTTTTTTGAGACATGGTTTCTCTGTGTAGTTTTGGTACCTGTCCTGGATCTTGCTCTGTAGACCAGGCCTCAAACTCACAGAGATCCGCCTGGCTCTGTCTCTCAAGAGCTGGGATTAAAGGCATGTGCCGCCACCGCCTGACTTTCTCTTAAGTTTTTAAAATGATGTTTGGTGGTTGAATTGGGTCAGACATGGTATTCTAAACAACTGGAAGTGAGGAGTGGCAAAAGGAGGCATTTCTACAGTCGATTGCAACTCAGTGTATCAACACTCATGGATTGTGACACACTTTGTTGGGTAACTTCAATAACCACAGCAGCCACCAAGAAGCTGAACTGAAACAGAAAGAAAACAAAGAACAAAAACAAAATGGCAGATTGAAGCCCCCAACGCAGCAATAACATTAAATAGTATTAAATATTAAATGTAAGTGATTCAATTTACCCATCGAAAAACAGAGACTACACCAGGCATGGTGGCACACGCCTTCAGTCCCAGCAGAGTGCACTCTGACCACGGCTGACCTCTCAGTTTTGATACAGCATCACTGTTATACGGAGCAGAGCTCCTGGGCCCAGGGGGCTGGCATATCGTTCCTTTAAATCTGTAATTATTTCCAAATTAGACGTTGAACACATTATTCCAAATTAGAATAGAAGCCCAGTACAAAAGGGAAGAGGCAAGCATAATATACTGAGCCCTACAAAAGACAAGGTACAGCTGAGGCCAAGGACGTGTCTAAACCAGATGGACTCTGACCCAGACAAGCAGGAGAAGATGCCTGGGTCGGGAGAGGCAACCGTGTCTTCCCACCACGGCTGCTGCCCAGTTTGGGAGTTTCCACCTCAGTTTCTCCAAAGTTATCATGAGGGGTTACATTCCCTGGCTCCACTCTGAAAAATCATACAGACCCCTGAAAGAGACTCCAGACACTTTTTTTGTTTGTTTGTTTTTGTTTTTGTTTTTGGTTATTTGAGACAGGGTTTCTCCATGTAGTTTTGGTGCCTGTCCTGGATCTCTCTCTGTAGACCAGGCTGGCCTCGAACTCACAGAGATCCGCCTAGTTCTGCCTGAGTGCTGGGATTAAAGGCGTGCACCACCACCGCAGCCTGCTTGCAGGAATCTTAAGGAACTCTTGTGTGGTCTCCCTTTGTGGCTGGGATTAGGGTGAAGGCAGTGGCATGCCCCCAAGATAAGACCTGGCTGTTGTATCTCGGTCTGATGATGGCAAGGATCCCACTAGGTAATACCAAGCTGTCTCCCTTCTCTCTTTTCTTTGGCGAAATGAGTTTTTACACCCCCCAAGGTGTTCTCCATCCTGGCTCAGAACATAAAGCTGTGCTGTGACAGATAACCTAGAAATTCAGCAACTAGACACTCTTGGCCTGTTTGGGCGTAAACAAGAATAACATACGGAGAGGAAGGGAGAGTTCTTGGGGGATATCCAATGCTTCAGAGTCCCTCTCCCAGATGGGATGATCCTGGCCTCACTCAGCACTCATGCTTTAATGCTGAAGACACCCCCAAGCCCACTTCAACCTCCCTACTTTAAGGATGCAGAGTGGGAAAGAGATAATGTGCCCAGAGAGAGGGAGAAATGTTCAGCAACATGGGGAACGTCTGGCCTGGGGTAGCAACGGTCCAAAGGGACATGAGACACATCCATGCTGAGCTAAGGGTGGCCATTGGTACTGGGGGGTCTAAGAAGCCAGGGGGATGGAGTCAGGCAGTGAAGGTTCCAGGCCTGACAGGAGAAAAGGGGGAAAGGAAGTTCCTAAAGCAATTGGTGGCTATGTTGGTGACTTCGCTCCTAAGTTCTGTCCTGATAGGAAAGATGCTGGCCGCTTCCTCTGCTCCTCTGCTGTGCCACAGGCAATCATAGAGCAGAGGCATACTCTCAGACATCTGTCCTTGGCTCCAGGGACAGGTGCAAAGGAAAGATGCAAGACAGGTGCCTGTCCCTCACCCACCCAGTACCATGGACAGGGGATCCTCCTGCTAGGAAGTCAGCCTTCCACCTGGAGGCAGGGAACAGGACCCCTACCCACCAGGTCTATCCTGCTGCTATAATATGACACTTGCTGAACACTGGTGTTCCTTCTGGTTTGCAACTAAGTGGCCACATAATTGTCAGGACATACAGGCTCTGTGGTGGTTTAAATGAGAATGACCCCCATAGGCTCATGTATTTGAAGACTTTGTTCCCAGGTGGTGGAACTGTTTGGGAAGGATTAGGAGGTGTGGCCTTGTTGAAAGAGGTGTGTCATTGGGAGTGTGCCTTGATCATGGTATCTCTTCATGGAAATAGAACAGTAACTAGGGCTCTCTCTGGCTTCTAAGAAGAAGCTCCATCATAGGCACCTGGAGAAGGCACTTTCACAGCCACGACCCTCCACTTTAAGCACAATCATGTAGCTCTCCCCACTCTCAGTGAGCATGTGGGGTGGCCTTGGGAACCCCCAAGCTCACACCAAGCACATCAACTGAATCAGCATTTACTTTCCCTCTAGGCCCTGCCTAGCCTTGGGAAGTGAGACTGATTACCTCACTTCTGAGTTTCTGAGCAAAGTCAGCATGTGGGAGGCACACAGAAGCTGTGACCCATGTCCCTTCCCCTGGTCTCCTTGGGGCATGATGAAGGCTGTTCTTCCCACATGGCGGCCCTGGTCCCTTCCTGTGTTGGTTCCTTGGTGTCCATAGAGAATGGATCCTAGGTTCCACAGACATGGAGACCCCTCCCATGTGTCCTAGCATTTGCATAGAACGCATAGTCATTCTCCTCTAAACCAGGAGTTACAGGGTGGATGCCACAGGAGCCATTTCATTGCTTGGAGACTGACGTGAAAAGAAGCCTGTGTGGTTTTTAGGACAGACACAGGTTTGTTCTGCTATTTTTTAGTTTGCTGAAAACTGATTGTCCCCTGGATACAGTAGGGTTCCTGGTGTGAAGCTGTGAGCAACAGTGGTGACCTCTCCCTCTAGGACCTATTTCTAGACCCAGCAACAATGACACTCTTCCCTGAAGAGAAACCAGGCCAGGGTATGGGCCCCAAAGCCTCCATGACTCTGGGTTTCCACTGACCACACCTGGAGAGGTCACAGGGCTCAGAGGCAACATGATCACATCCTTCGCCATGCCCTTCAGAACAGAGGGGCCAGACACCAGCTGTGTCTCTGGCCCAGGAAGTCATAAAGCCGCTCAGCCTTGGTTGTAGCCCCAAAGGACCTGAGCAGTGAGCATAAAGACAAGCGCTAAGCCCCCGGGCACAGCACAGCTATCAGTGGGAACAAGAAAGACACGAGCATGCTGCGGGGGAAGGCTATGTCCTGTACAGTTGTGGGATCCAGAATGGCCACCCTGCAGAGGTGGTATCTGCCATCGGCCTTGAGGAGAAAGTAGGAGTTCTCCAGGGTAAAAGGAAGAGAAGGAGGTAGGTGGTTGAATAGAGGGCTACTATCATGAATCATCACCTAGTTCTGTCTCAGGGACCCCCACCTCAGAGAGCAGTGTCTAAGGGTGCTGCATTCCTAGGAACAGGGATAAGGCCCCCCATTTGCTCCATAGTCCCTCTGACTGGCCCAACTCACAGGCAGTCCCATCTGGGGAACGGCAATATCCAGCTGCTTCGAGTGACCACAAATGCCTCCAACCTGGTCTTAGAGACCATATTCTCACTGTGGGCTAAGTGAAGGGAGAAAAGGCAGCCCAGAGATCTTGCAGCAGCAGGACCCTCCGACATGGCTTCTAAGGACATTTAGCCTGTGGACTTCCCCTGGGTCCCTACAGTTCCTGGATTCCTGACTCTGGAGACCAAGAAGCTCCAAAGACATGTAATGGAGCCCTGGTCCACCAGGCTTGATCTGAATGTTGCTCTGCACAGCCCCATTCACTGGTCACTGGACAGGTCATCCAACCCTCTGCCACAAGCCAACCTATTTGCAAAGCACAATTCATGCCCCCAGAGGACTCTTAGGGAAGTGAAGGAGATGGACTGGGCATGTTCCCCAAGTGTCTCCTGAGATGAGATGGAGAGACTTGGGGATTCTCAACCTGGAATGAACACCAGATGCTCCTTTACAGGCCCTGGCTGAGACCACACAAGTGGGTCTGATCAGCCATTCACACTTTGTCAAGAGAAATGGATCAGAGACCTTAGTCAAAACCATGCCACTTACCCTGCATCAGAGAGTTTGGAGCTTTCCACAAAATACACACATTCCTTCTTCTTGATGTTTTCAGGAATCCATGAGCTGAGGTTTTCTTGCTGGGAGTAAAAAGGAGCATGTTGACATTGTGAAGCCACATACCCCCAGGCCTCCCTTAGACACCTGTCTGCTCCCTGACCAGCTTCCATTGAGGGACCCAAAGCCACCTCAAAACTTAAAAGCACCCTTGCTTGGGCTCTGGGTGTGTACTCAAGAGACAGGCATGAGACTATACAATTGTTTTCTCTTGGGGATACTTTGTCCTCAGCGCTTCACAGGTTATATGTCCACATTGCTTTCCCTGGGGATGGTATGATATGAAAAGACCATCTAGGGTAAAAACCTGGTACCTGGCTTTGAAGACACCCTGCCGTCGGTCTGACCACATACTCAAATGTTTCGACATGATTACTCAAGGGCTTTTGGCAACACTAGCCTGGGACCTGAGGTGATGCCCCTGGACTCCACAGAAAGGGGAACTAGAGTTATTGTAGGACAGGGTAAGAAAAGCGAGGGCTTCCATCATCTGGCAGGAAGCCTCCTTGTCCACCTGGCCATTTCCCACATGGTGAAGAAAGGGGAAACAGCTGTGGCAGGGCAACACTCAGTAAGCAATCTGGCTGGTGCTTTATCATATCCCCACCTCTCCTCTCCCAGGGAGCACTTCTGGGTTGGAGGCCCTGAGGTGGGCAGACCCAGGTAAGAGATGGGCCTACCCTATGGCCATTGACTGCCTGGACTAGCCCAGGGCGACCTAACCAACGGTAACCATTGGACTGCTTCTGTGGCCCAGGATATAACAGGCCAGCCAGCGGGAGCCTACCTTCTCAATGAAGGGGCACAGAAGTCTCCTGCTCTTGTGAAGGCTGCTATTGCTTCGCCGGAGATTGGGGACCATGCCCAGATCAGCGGCCCTCCTGGCCTCCACCCCAAAGCCCTCCTCTTGCTCAGAGCCAGTTCTTCTCCGGTCTAAGGACTCCATCCTCCACAGTTCCAGATTCACTCCAGGAGTGAAGAGCTCTAGATGCCTTCAGGAAAGTCTTTTCTCATTTGTGAGGCTGGGGGTTCTGGAAAAACACCCCAACAGAGAGGTACTGAAATGCATCTGAAAGAGGAAGACGAGGCTGTGGTTCTAAGAGGCACGCCCACCTGTTTCCTCTGTGACGTCTTGGTCAATTTCCCCTGTGTCCGCCTGGTCATCCAGAGTTCTGTCACCTTGGACAGTCTACAAGCACACATGTATCTGAGGACCCTGGGAGTCCATCCCTAACGGTTGCAATCTCAGGTGTCTCCATAGCTCCGCCATTCACCAGCTCCCTGGATGAGCGCCCAGACCAGTAAAGGGAGGCAAATTCCTGTGGCCACCACTTGCCCTGGTGTGTGACCTATAGTTCTGCATCTCATGATTACAGAAATCAGTTGGCTTCTTTCATTTTCCAAAAGGAAAACGAAAACCTCTACTTCCCGCAAAGTAGGTTCTGGGAAGTACCGTAACGCTACATCGTGAGACACCAGCTGTCAACCACAGCCAGCCTGCTGGCGCAAACCCTTCCTCCCGGGCTCTGTTTTGCCGAGGCCACAAGAAGCTGCCCATTTTCCTCAGTTAACAACTAAAAAAATCCGTAGTGGCACACACCTTTAATCCCAGCACTTGGGAGGCAGAGGCAGGCAGATCTGTGAGTTCGAGACCAGCCTAGTCTACAAAGTTAGTTAGTTCCAGTACAGCCAGGGCTACACAGAAACCCTGTCTCAAAAAACAAAACAAAACAAAACAAAAAACAAAACAAAACAAAAAAACCAAAAACCAAAGGTATTCAGTTCTGCAGGACTTCCCTGGACCTGAGATGCACCCCTCAATGCTGACCTGTGATGCTAATCACCCTTCATTGTACTACTCCAGCAGGTATAAAAGAGGATTGCCAAGGGGTAAAAACCAACCACACACCTCAGCCTCACCCTGCACTGAACATCACTTCTCAACACCAGGTCCTCAAGCTATTTTTCTGCCTAGTTGCCGGTCAACTCGCCCTCCTCGGGGCTCTTAGGGCTGAACGGTAGCTACAGTTGCTGGCTTCAGGCAGATGCTCTGGCCCACCCCACCCCCATTTTGTCCCTGGGCAGCTACCCTGAGATAGCCTACCCTCCAAATGCCAGGAGTACAGTAGGCATAAGTACACAGCAGGAGTGTCTGATGTCTTCTCCTGTCCTAAGGACTCCGAGGTACTTGGATCCAGATTCACATTCAGACAGCTGCTCTCAGCATGGCCGCTGGGTCTCTGCAGATATCCTGGAAATCCAGCTGCAAACAGCCCTGAGATGCCCACTCCCCTAGACCCATAACAGCCCTCAGGCCATACTGTGACCCTGGCTCAGCCTCTTTCCCTCCCCATCCTCTGCCCAAAAGGAGTAAAAGGCACTCTGAGACCCAGGATTGACAATGACCTTACTCAGTCCGTCTAGCCTCCAGGGGCCTTCCCCAGACACTGACACCTATATGAAGCTTTTCCCACACTAGCTTACAGCTAAAAATCTCCACAAGCAACTGGTATAGGGGTGTGTGTCCAGAGCACTCCAAAGGCAAAAGAATGAATGGACAGACAGACAGACAGAGAGGATTTGGCAGTACCTATACCCTGGATACAAGATGTATAACATGACATCTGTTAATCTATTTGTCTGGGTCGTCTAGTCTACCTGAAGTAGCAAGCAGGCTGGGACAGAGCAGGACCCCTACGTGGGATGAGCCTCCAAATCTGAGCTCTACACACAGGCACTAGTAGAGACAGAAAAAAGGGGCTCAGACGTAGGGGGAGGGGGGCAGTGGCACACCCTCCCCTACAGCCTCACAGCAACTGAGTCCAGCTACCTGAGATAACCCTCATTAGGAATGGATGTATAGCCAAATGCAACTGGACTCTGGGAACATCTTCCAAACTGACATTTGAGCTCAGGACCTCCAGACCCAGGGTGTGTCTGGCCACCCACCCCAGTGCACAGATGTACCAGAAAACATAAGGGACTTCATTGCTGGGAGTGGGGCGGGGGGGGGGGGGGGGGATGAGCCCTGGCTGGTGGCTAAGACATGTGGCACCTTCTCTACCTTGCTCACTGTAAACTCTATGGCACTCAGGTTTCCTGCTAGTTCCCTGCTTGCTCCCCAGGCATCCTGGACATACCAGCCTGGAAAGCACTTCGATTAAGATAGACAACTAGACACAGGAAAGGACACAGGAGCTAATGTCCCAGTCCCCTGTGAGGGTCCAGAGCGAGAGCCAGGAGCCGTACCGCGGTGTGGGCACAGATCACACCGGCTGACACTGAGTCTGCGCCGCGCCGCCGTGTACTAGCTCCAGAGTTTGTACCTAGATGCAGGTCAAACCCTGCAGCCCCTCAACACCGCAACTTAAGTCCCATCCTAGGGCACGCCCTCCCCCCACCCAAGCCGAAATCTCTGCACCAGAGAGCAGACCGCACTCCAGCCCATGCCTGCACCAGGGTCCAAGACTCAGTCTTTGCACTTTCTTAAGCCACACTCAAAGGACACAGCAACCCGAGCCCCTGCACCACGCATTCCCTCCCGGTGCTGAGGAGCACCCTCCCCGCATTCCGCCTGTGCCCCTGCAACCAGCACTCCCTTCCCCCGACTGAACCCGCATTTCCTCTCCAGATGCTGGGTCAGCGCCCCTTCACCAGCGCCGGGTACCTGCTCAGAGGCTGTGCACCCCAGCGTCACTCTGCGCAGCTGCGCAGGACGGCAGCCCTGACCCGCATCTCAGGGCTAGGCGCAGCCTGAGTGGCCCGCCCCGCACTCTGCGTCACTCAGCCTGATTGCGTGGCAGCGGCAACTAAGAACGTGAAGCCAAGCATGTGCTGGGCCCCCTGAGATGCTCTACCTGCGGGTCAGTCAGCCTTCTCAGGACACCTAGTGACAGACGCTCAGAAAATGGCCTTTGCGGGCTGAGGGTCAGGTCTTTGCAAAGCGTAAAGCCTTGTCTCCAAGCCCTGAACCACAAGGGCAGCCTGGGAGAGAGTCAGGGGCACCTTTGGACCTGAGCCTAGTTAAGTACCCAACATGCACCTATCTCAGAACCCTCCTGCTAGAAGTCCCTCGCAGCTACTTTCACAGTAGCAGCACCCAAAGCCAAATAACAATTCCCAGGGAGTGACGTTGGACCTGAGGGCAACGTCAGCCTCAGGATCCCCCAGATGTGTCCCACAACAGAGGGGACAGGAAGAACCCAAAGGATCAATCCCAAATTGAGCCTGCAGCAAGGCTGGTTCCAGAACCCAAAGATGCACCCCACCCCCAACACACACACATCCCAGTTACCCTGCAAGTGTTGTACCTGGTTCCTGAAAGTGACAAGGACTTCACTGACTCCTAAGAAGATGGCTGTGACTTCCTCAACCATTCTTTCATCCCAAAATCACACTCTGCCTTCTCCATTCCCAACACCAGTAGACAATGCCCAGCAGAACTCCTGAGCCCCTGGCCTCAGTGCCAGGAAAGTGAAGAGGATTGATCTACGGTCTCTGATCTAGATAGCGGGGGATCTGCCCAGGAAGTCATGCCTGGCCAGCAGCTTCCTCCCTCCTCTCCTCCCCAGGGTGCTAGTTCCCTGTCCAGATCCTGATTCAGCATGTACTTACTATTGAAGGTCCTTTCTGCAACTACCCTGTGGCTTCCCCACCTGAGATGAGCCAACCAGCCTGGCTCATTGAGGTTGCCCACCATCTCCCCCTCTGAGGAGCCACCCCAGTCTGGATGGAGCCATGGCAAAGAGACACTATTTGCAGGGACAACATTTTATAGCTCTTTTATGGCATGTTATTAGAAATAAATGCAATGGGAGGGGCTGTCTCTCCTCCAGATCAGCGGCGAGGTGGTGGGTCCCGGGCCAGGCAAATGTACACATGGTTATCAGTGCTGTGACTGCCCTGCTAGGCTGCATGCTGTGCGGGCACCCGGATCTCATCCCTGTCCACTGCTGTGTTCCCAGTGCCTGGCAACCATAGGTCACTGCGTGGTAGGTTATAAGACAAGCTGCCACTCAGAGGAGACAGACCCAGATCTAGGGTAACAAGTAAGGAAACGTATACCCCCCATACCAGCAGCACATGGACCTATGCTTCTTCCCTACAACATCTCATTAACTGAAATCACTATGGCAAGTTAATATTTCATAAGACAGTAATTGCAGCACGGCCAGCTGGTGAACAGACTGGCCTCTGGTTCCAAGTAGCCCAGGGTCCCTATGGGAACATCATCTAAGGTGAATTGGCCAGTGAGTTTCATCTCCCATGAAGTGTCTGTGCTGTGTGGCCCTGAGTGGCTCCTTTTCTTTTAGAGAAGAACCACAGGTTACAGGATGGCCATATCACATCTTCCAAGATGCCATCAGAATGGCATTTATGAAATATCCATCCATAAAAAACGATGGCACCATCCATAAAACTCAGATGCAGCATGTGCTGATCTCGCCAGAAAGTCGCCTCAAGTCTGACGAAAGAGATATTCAGCACAAAAAAAAATTTTTTTTTTCAAGGCATGGACATTATGCCCAAGACAAAAAGGCCCTGCTTGGGCAGCAAAAAGGAAAAACCACAGAAATGTGGTGATCCGCTGGCTCTCTGCATGGAGGTCACAGTGAGGAGCAGAACTGAGGAAGCAAGGCTGTGGAAGGAGAAGAGGTCTGAGCCCAGAGCACCACACTTTCTCCTAGAGTACAGTAGCTGGTCTGTCCCAGTGCCACCTTTGTGTTAGGAAACGCAGCTACAGGGGGTGTGTAAATGGACGAGCATGGCTGTGTACCAATAAAACTTTATTTACAAAAAAAAAAAGAAGAAAAAGAAAAACAGGAATAGTGCCAGAGTTGAAGATGATAATCAGGCTTGAGAGTGGGGAACATCCTCACTTTTCTTCATTGAGGGAGACAGTGGGTCCTCTGCATTCCAGAAACATCTCAGCAAAAGGACTGCTTGTGAAACTCAGTGGTGAGAAAGCACACAGGAAGTTGTAAGAAAAGCAGCCAGTGTCATCTGGGAACTCCCCACTCACTACAATACTGCTGAATGCTAACACAGGCACAATATCATCCTGAGAGCTGGATTGACCCCAGAGCCCAAAAGGTCACACGACATGTTCAGTAAAAGTCAACAGCACATACCCACACATAGGCACACACATATACACATAGTTAAAAATAGAAATAAAAATCTAACAAAAAGGTCTGTCTTTTAATAAAAATCTTTAAAAAAAAAACTTTAAAAAGCATATGGATACGAGACGTGAACACACAGCCTATAATGAAATGAGGTTATCCCTTGCTGTTTGTGAGACTCACAAATGCACATGCAGAGCTTTGCATGGTCTGCAGGAGACACATGTGCAGTCGTTCACCGCACCTGCCTCCCCTCTGAGATGAATACCTCACATTGGGGCTGGGAGAGGCCAGGAAGGCCAAGCTTCCACAGCAAGTTCTGAACTGGTCCCAGGAGGACAGAAGAACAGCCAAGGCAGCTGAGCGCTGTCAGATAGATGTCCCCTTTGGGGACCTGTCCTGTGGAACCATAGTAAGGACTGTAGAGCAGGAGCCAGCACCGGTAGCTGTGGTCCCTGGCACCCTGGCTCTAAGTACCAAAAAGACCTCCGGTGGGTTAAAACCATAAGAGGTACCTGGCCCGTGTAACCATTGAGAATGGAGATCAACTGTGATTCAGAAAAGAGTTGCTGTGTGGGGCTGGAGAGCTGGCTCAGACAGCAAGAGCACTTATTGCTCTTGCAGAGGACCCTAGCTCACTCAGTTCCCAGGACCCACATGGCTGCTCACGAGCACCTGTAACTCCAGTTCCTGGAGGTCGGAGGCCCTCTGCTGGCCTCTGTTGGTAGCTTACCAGGGCTGGGCTCGATGAGTTTCATCTTTTGGGGCTTTCAGACAGAGGAAGAAGAAGCAGGGCTGGACAGGAGGAGCACTGTATGGAAAATTCCTTCCCTAGGGAGATGTAAACAATGTTACCCCCCTCCCTGTATAGTCCTAACTTCAAATCACAAGTACAATTTCACCAAAGTTCACCTTGGGGAACCCATGGCATTGCTGGGATTACTTATAAAGAGGTAAGAGATTAGAGGTGGGATCGTGGGGTGGACACCAAAGAAGCTACATTGTAATGTCTTCACTCAGCATGATGATAGCTTCCCCAACAGCCTCACAGATGGAGCCCCTTCCACGAACCTTCCGTCTATATAGTCCCTCACATCCTAAGGCCACAAGGCCTCATGTCATTAGGGCAAAGTTGAATACAAATGGCTGGGAGGAGGGGCTAAACTCTCAAGTGAGGGCCCAATGACCCTCCCCACCCACTCTTTCTATGAGAGAACATCAGTAGTTAACAAGACTACTACTGGCCTCCTGCAAATAGGCACAGTTGGTCTGATGAAGATGGCATTCAACAACAGCCATGTTCCTCTTCTGCAGGGGCAGGAGAAGTGGACCCCCATAGCTGTTTCCTCTGAATTGAAGTTTTTGCTCATTAAGGGAGGAGGGAAGTCTCACAAGATTGAAAAAGCAAAGGAAACCCACAAGGCTCAGGAAGCTCAGAAAGTTACAGGACTCACAAGGCCCCTCCCCAAGGTTAGATAGCCAGCTACAATTGCTGAGGAGAGGAGACTCTCTGAGCGCCACTCACTGCCTGAAACTTGTTCAGGAAGCTTGATGGGTACAGCTCTCGTGAATGGTCACCCATGCCCCTCTAATGAACCCCAACAAACTCATTGGTTCATCAAGCTGGACTGAGAATTGTCTCTCTGTCTACTGTCATTACCCTATAAATGTTTGCTTATGTCTCCCTAGGAAGAGTCACACAACACCAGAGAACGAGCCCTGGCCCCACAGAGAGGGAACACCAGCGGCAGGAAGGGTCAGTGCTGAGGAACCCAACCAGGTGCACAAAGAAGGGCCGCGCTGTTCACAGCCAAGCCAGGATGGCGGCGGCCTGTTCTCCTGGCAGCCAGGACACTGTGGGGGCCCACAGTGACTCCAGCTTGTGACTTGACTTCCATTTCGACTCAAGGTCAGAGAGTCCAAGCTTGTCTTTACTCTCTAAGGCTGGATAACAGGATGTTTGGCCAAAGACGAGGTTACCAGATATCTTATTCCTCAAGGCTGGATAACAGGATGTATGGCCAAAGGCATGGTTACCAGGTGTCTTGAGAATTAAGGAGGTGTTTACACTTGTTTGTATTTGAACCATGGTGTCCTTGAGAGAGGGAGGTCTTTTTGCCTCCCATTTTGGGTAAAAAAATAAAATAAAATAAAAAATAAAAAAATAAAAGGTCCTGAGGAATAAACTGAGGGTGACTCTGGTATTGACTCAGAGTCCTCCCGATGCTATTCTGTGTCTCCATCTTTTTCTTTTACATCGTCTGTGTCTCTATTTTTCATATCTGTAATTTCTCAAACCCTCACTCCTCCATTCAAGACTGTTTGATAGTCTTGAATGTGGGACTGGCAGGACACTATCAGCGCAGTCCCCCTGAAGGACAACAGACTCCAGGTGGGGAAATAGACAGCCAACTCAGGGACAGTACATGACCCAGACAGGGCCAGTCCCCACTTGTGAGCTTGAGGAACTGGGCAAAACACTCTTCCTGCCAGACGTGAGACTGCCAACTTCATACCAAGAGGCCGACCGCAGCGGTCTTAGGCCAGTAGAACACAGGATGAGGAGGCCATGTCCTGAGAGCTGTGGTTGACCAGAGGTGAGAAGCTTCTACTCAAGTTTCTCAGACATGGGAGGCAGTGCTT